AGCCTATCCTGCAGGGAGGAGTTCCCTTCACCCCTTGCTCCATCAGCAGCCATGCTCCTGCCTCCACCTTTGGCCAGGGGATAACTGGGATGCAGGCTGCTCCAGCTCCACATTCCCATGTGCTGTATCCTGGGGACCACACCCATGGGCCCATTTCCCAAAAACCTTTCTGCCTCAAACCACCTGCTTAGCTATTCCCTTTCGTTCCTCTCTCACCTTCCTACTCCACAGCACAAAGCCCAGGTGCTTGCCACCCCACACATCCCATCGCTCTGCCACTGCAGCTTCATGCTACTGCAGCCTCCGTCTTCCCCTGCTGAGACCCTCCTCAGTACCCTAACACCAGTGTGTCCATGCAGCACAGCCCCCAGACCAGAAACAGGCACCAGCCTGATCCCTCCTTGCTGCAAGGGGGTGACGTCCAGGCCCAAAGAGCTACAGGAGAGGAGCAGGTCCCTCCGGAGGCAGCATCAGGGGCAGGGAAGATGGCAGCACAGATCCACCAGCTCTGCCCTGGAAGTGCTGCTGGGCAGCAGCATAAATAACACAGGAACTCCCCCCATGCCAGAGAGCCAGGCCGCTGTCTTTTTCTGCCCCATTCATACCAGAGTCCCTGTCAAGAGATGACTCAAGGGACAGGTGTGTGCTTTCATGTCCAGTTTTATTAGTGTTGCATTAGTACCATGAAACAGTTGACGAGGTCAAGCACGTTGCAGTTTCTTCCAAGAAAAAAAAAAAACACCAAAAAACCAAAGGCTATTTACATTTAATCAGTCTTCATGGAAAAAAAAAAAAAAGCCAAAACCCAAAACCAACAACCTAGAACCCAAACAATACAACAATGAAACAGATGGACAACTCGGGAATCTACAAAGTGGTAACGTCCCCTTGTACACTGCAGCCTGGACAAGGCTGGCAGCATGCAGCCCCGGTACCCATGCTTACAAGGTGCTTCCCCATGTCTACATACAGAGAATGCTCTGCAACCCCCTGGACAAAGCACAAAGCAGCAGCTGACTGGATGTAGCCCCATTCCAGTGCTCTTCCTTAAGGAAACTAGTGACCTGCTGCTTTCCAAGCTGGTATGTCCCCATCTCCCCCAGTCTGTCCCAAAGCAGCTAAGTGACCCTGCAGACGCATCACCCATGAGAATCCCACTGAAGAGGCTCCAGGAAGCCTCCAGGAGATGCTGCTGCTCATTTCTGGCCTTCTCCCTGCCAGATAGGCCCAGAGGGAGTGCCACACTAAAATGCCACCACACAACTATCTGCTGAGATCAAGACTCCCTGAATGAAGCGGACACAGGCACTGCATCCAACATAGCTTCAGGAAAGCTCCAGGGCTCCCAACCCTTTATTGCTGCACAGTGCGACTGCCCTAATTCCAGCCTTCCTGATTCCTTGGCACACCAAGCATCAGGAGAAGGCCACTAGCCCTGCTACCTCTTGCCAGGCTTTTCCTAAAGATGGAAGTGCCAGGTGTAATACCCTCCACAGCAGCTCTCCAGTGCTCTCTCCAACACACTGCCGGTAAGAAACACAATGGGGCCTGTGCTGCAATTGCAGGTTAAGCATGGAGCAGTGGGGTTCTCAGCTGAGTTCGAAGATGGAAAGCAAACTGGCACATCTCTTCCAGCCACAGAAACCTCTCAGCCACCTACCCCTGCCCTCTCTGCAGGATAAAGCCACAAGCATGTGCTAATTAAAGCAGCGAAGCACAGCCAAAGAGACAGTGACTCTCCCCAAACTCACAGGTAATTAAGTAGGGCTCTGCAGTTATTGCCGAGATGTAAATGGTAACAACTGAACTGTATGAAAACTGCAGCACTGAGTTAAAAACAGCCACCTAAGGCATCAAGTCAGCAGCGTCACAGGACAGCCAACCCTGACTGAACACTGGCAGGGCTGAGGTCCAGCCTTTGCCTCCAGGAAACTCAGCCTGGAGGAGCAGGAAGCACTCAAGGTGCAACACAATGCCACAAAAACCTTCCATCTTCCATCTGCTCACCAGCGCTGTTAAACTAGGTCAGCATCACAGAGCCCAGTGCAGCAGTGAGCCCACTCCTGAGACCCTGCCTCCGAGAGAGGTGGGGGCCCTTCACCCAACAGCAGCTGTAAAAGAAACCAGCTGCTTTGAGAAGCCACAGCCGGGGAAGCAGGAGACGCGAGCTCTGGGACACAAAAGGGACAGGGAGACCAGGGGACACTGCCTTCAAAGCACCTCCCAGCCAGATAGCTCAGATGTTGCCCGCTCCAGCCCCTGCCTTCACTGTTAGATGGCATGGTTCCAAAGCAAGCCCTGCCTATGCCATGGCGTTTCTTTGTTCGAGTTGCACCTTCCTCACCAGAACTCAAAAGAGCTGGAAGCAGGGAGGTGCTGCCTCTGCTCTAAGCCATCCTTCCGCACTTGCCAACCTGCACACAACCATCTACCCTGACCATGCTGGTGCAGCTCTGCAGGCACCTCTCTCTGGCTGGCGGGGCTGGATCTTGGCAGGCTCCCCAGGAAACTGTTAGGGAAGCTGGGAGGGTGGAAGGCCCAAGATCCCAAAATGGCCTGAGCCACACGCATGCTTTGACACTCCTTTTCCTTAGAGACACAAACCTGTTTCTCCTCCAGTCAGGGTCAGAAACAGCTGCACAAAGTGGCACCACACCATACAGGAGAAACAACAGAGGCACAACACCCTGACTGGAGCAGCACCACCAAACTCACATGCCAGCCCTTGCCTCCAAGGCAGGGAAATGCCACAGCCATTCCCCCAGGCACACAGCTGGACTCCAGGCGGACAAGGCTGAGGAGCTGGGATGTTTCCTTGTATGTTATAGAAGCATTTCAGAGCAATGGCAGCTTTCCACAGGGGAGGAGCCCTGCAGAGACACAAGCCCTCAGGCCTCAGGCCTCCAGAGTTTCCTGATCAATTCACATGTATAAAGTTAGAACAAAACACAAACCAACATGAAATGCAACAAGCAGAAGTGTTTCTCTCACACATACACACACACAGAGTAGAATAGGGCAACACACATTTGACAGGCAGGACCCTGGAAATCCTGTCCTAGCTACCATTTGTTTCTTTACAGTAGGTTGAAATACAAAGAGGAGCACAGTGATTGTTCCCCCCTTACTCCCCCAGTAAACAAAGTTATTGCAGTCAGTTATTCCACCCCACCTCTGCAGCAGTATCATGCTCTGGTACTGAGAGCTGCCCAGGCTGCATGTGGGTCCCGGCACTGGAACCCAGCCCAACCACTCCTGTCACACCAGCGTGAGACTCAAGGAAGAAATCACACACTAATTTCCTTTTAAAAGCTTCTTTCTTCCCCGATGCCACAGCCTCAATAAAGAAAAAGAAGTGATGAGCTTACACACCATCTCCCGCGTCACCGCTGCTAGGCAACACTATACTGTCCCATAGCATCAGCTCAGGTCAACCGAAAACACATGAACTGAGGGACATGACGACATCCGAGTTACAGCCGAGCTTCTGTCACAGCCAAGAGCTAGCAGACGGCAGGCACACCTGCCTGCGGGAAGAAACACACTATTGCAACTAGACAATATGTCCTGCCCAGCAGCGTGCCACCAGGCGTGGGTTCATGTCCTCCTCCACAGTATGGTTTGAAGGGAATACCCAGTCCCTGGCCAAGTAGGCTGCACTTGTGCTGTGAATGGGTTTAATGAAATCAGAGTTGGTGAAGCAGCCCATGCTGTGAGCTGCAACAGGCACTAGATCCAGCAGGGACCATCCTCTCACCTAATAATCCCTTGCTCCTCATCACCAACAGAACATACCACCACTGTCCCGCCCAAAAGAACCCGGGTGGCCCCTGTGTAGAGCAGGACCTGCCAGGCAGGGTAAAGTGGGTCCCCCAAGCCTTTAAAAACAGGATCAGATGGGGAAGGGAGGAGGGAAAAAGAAAGGTTCCAAAGCATCACTGCCCCCAGAAAGTGCCTTCTGGAAATGTTCACAGAGCCTGGCCAGCCCACTAGGGTGGGACCCAAAAAGGACCCCATCAAAAACTTCAGTCCCTTACCCTGATACACCAGAGGTGTCTGTTCTTCCACACTGCAAGCACACTGTTCTCCCCATATCCCATCTGCTTCCAGTCCCTCCTAGGCATGCCCCAGGAGGCCTGGAGAGCAGAAGGCCACATCTGCAGGACCCGGAGCTGCCAAGACCTATGACTTGTCACACTGCCTCCTTGTCTCGGCACCTCAAGCATCCCTGGCAGCAGCAAGGTGTACAACATAAACTCAAGTGCAGCCAGAGCCAAACCAATGGTGCAAGACACCCAAGAATCTCACTCCTCCATCTCACAGGACGTCTTGCTGCCTGAGGCAGGTGGAGAACCTGGCTGGCTTCATCCTCTCTCATGTCCCAGTTACAGCTTCCACTACACCAGGCTACTGAAACCCCTAGGCAAAGCCTCAACCCATAGGCAATGCTATTCCAGGGCAAAAGCATATCCTGCTGGGGAGGAATACTCAGAAAGCAGAAGGTAAGAACAACATCCATCAACAGAACAGTCCATGGGAGGCTGCATACCCCCAGCACCCTTCATTTTTGTTAAAGTCTCTCAGTCCCTATGAGGAGAGGTCCTGTGAGGTTCAAGGGCATGGCGAAAACACATGCCTGCAGTGGCCCTGAAGCCAGGCAATCTGCACCCAGCCTGAAGACATGCATGAGGGAGATGGCAGCAGGCTCTAGGGAGCACAGTGCAGTCAGGGCAGGACAAAGGCAGCAGATAAAGCAGCCCATGCTACCTCATGTGTGCAGGTTGACAGATGGACAGGAAGGCAGCTGGACATACAGAGCGCCTGGCTGGCTCCCAGTCCAGCCAGGACAGTGATGCATCACATCACAGACAACAGCTTATCTTCCTGGGTTTGTGTTTTTTGGCAACTTATTTCCCCCCCCTTTTTTTTTTTAATTATTATTATTATTTTTTTAGAAAGCATTAAAAAAAATCTGCAGCTGTTAAAAAAAATCCTTTCCCTTTAGAGGCTGGACGAGGTTTTATTGACAGGTAAATAATCAGTGTGAGTATGTAAATAGCAGCGACCCCACTGACGTGGCATCCCTCAGCTGCACAGCCAGCTGCGGGGACTTCATGACTGGCTCGGTTTGGTCATTGTCGCAGACCTGGGACACTGGAGTTTCCTTACACATAGTGTTTCCCTAATTCCAGTTCCTGTCCAACTCTCCTCAGGCATCACTTCAGCACAAACACCTTCCCGTCCCCATGGCAGACTTGGGGATCTCCTCCCCAGACCTCTCCAGCTACACAAGTGGTTTGTTTTTCAAGCCAGACAGTTGAACTCCCTCCAGACTTGCTGATCTCTCATCCTTTGGCAGCAGGAAAAAAGAATGGCCATCTTTTCTTTCCTGGAAAGAAACAGGAGGGGGCCAAACACACCGCATGATCTTCCGCAAAATCCACTCAAGCTGATCCATGGCTCCCCCAGACCACTCACACCAATGAGGTCTCAAGGTTAATAAGCAGTGCAGTTATTCAGCTCTCTGCTTGTAAGTAGTAGGTGTTCTTGGGCAGGTTGCCTGCTCCTGCCAACTCCCCCACGACTTCATGTTGTCAGCACATCTATATTTAAGACTGGGTTTTTTTTGCCTTTGTTTAAAGGGGTTTCCTTCCCTTGTAGTAAACTTAAGAGTTAATAGAAAAAAGTAATTCGAAAGTAATCCAAGCACATCTGTAATTAATTCTGCAGGAGAGGGCAGAGAGATGCGAGTCAGAGTTGGCACGCAGTTCCTGGCTCCTGGTGTGCAGTCCCGGGACGGACAGAAGGTCCCTCTGCCGAGCACGGCTAGAAGTTAGATTTGGAGTGTCCAAATATGCAGATGGGAAAGTGCTTGACATGAGAGGACCACTGTGCTGCCAGCTGAAAGAACTTGACGTCGTTCCACTCCACCCCATCAATGAGGACTGCAGAGGATGGCGAAAAGAGAGGAGAGTTAGAAAACACCAAACAGAAATGGGCAGCATGAAACAGCTTTGCTAGAAACCTCCCTGCAGTCAGCAGAGGGAGGCCTGGCCACATTCTGGGCCCAGCCTAAATGCTACTCTGCCTGGCCACCCCACCACTGTAAATAGCTGCATACATCAGGGAGAAGAGCTCCATAGCAGACCAGGTTTACGAAGAACAGCTCACACTGTTGTTCCAGCATCGCTCACCGACACTGGAGCTCCCCAGACTGCTGATTTCAGTGACACCTGATTTCATTTCCTGAATTTCCCAAACATACTTCATTTTCTTTTATGGGCAAATGCACTCTGTAAGAGTTGAACATCAGTCTCTCATCACTGGCACTTCTAACCAGATCCACATCTTTTAAAGAGGAGCCGCATGTTCTGTGACCACCCCTCAACACTCACGAATCTCACAGGGACTGAGCCAGGATTAAGGGGGTGACCTAAGCAGATCCCTCTACTGTGAACAGTGGTGGTGATTATCAACTGAATAAGCTACAGGGATAGTTTTGATACTGGTGGCACATCTCCACTGACAGCCCCTTTATGTCTGTCTGCCAGATGTATATGTGGCTACAGCTACAGCGAGCTTTTGTGCCACAATCCTGACCAGAGGAGCAGCAGCACTCCCACTGCTCTCCACCACCACTTGCACGAGATATGCAAAACAGAGAAGACAGGGAGGGGAACGAAGCCTGGCCCAGCCACTGTCCCCAGCCAGGGCATGGATTCAGAGGAGTTTCTGAGTAAGGGAAGATATTCCCAAATCAAAGACCTATTAAAGCATTCCCCTATGCCAGACACATCCAAGCCCATTCCCCCATTATGGTGGCTCCAGAGTGTAAGGGCAGGACAGCAGGTCAGCCCTTTGCCTGTAGGACAGTGCTAGCATGAGCCTTGCCCCAGAACCCAACAGGATGCAAGCACCGCACTTACCGCGCAGCATGTTCTGCTGATGTTTTGCTGTGCAAATCAACCTGCTGATTCCTTCAATACACTGGCTCTTTGACTCAATCTCCTTGTCTTTTGTTTTCTTGGGCAAAAACATCACTGGAAGAAAATCAAACCAGCACACAGTGAATCTCTGCCACACCCAGGCAAGACTTGTTTGGGTTTTTGCATTTAAACATTCATGTCTGAAAATTCTAGATCTAATTTTAACTCCTAAAATCACCCGTTTGGCAGGAGTTCGACTGTGTCAGTGCTGAGCACCATCACCTACGTATATGGACATCTTAAGTCCTAAGTGTCCCCATATGAAGCATTCTCAGCTCATAACCCAGGCCCAAAAGGGCACCTTCAGCGTAACTTCTGCTGCTCAGTTGGGACACCAGGGAAAACAGTAGCATCTGTATGGTGCCCAGTCTGTGCCCTGCCCTGGGTGAGGGATCTGCCGGGCGGCTGCACTACTTAGGGACAGTCCCACATACCGCACATGCTGACAGGCAACGCTGCTCTCCAGCCTTCCCTCTCTCTGCAGGCAGGTCTGCTGCACCAACAGACACCTGGAGAGCAAGAGGGACTAAACTCTGGGTGGCTGGTGGAGAGGGTAAGCATTAGGAGACCTAAAAAAGGGTCCACTTCCCCGAGAATTATCCAGATGCATGAGCAAAGATGTAGAAACTGACTCCACAAAAGCTGGTGGTGTTGAACACCACTGCTCCAGCCTGGGCCAGCCCCACTGAAGAACATTTTGAGTGTCTCAGGATCGTTTCTCCTGTAGGCATGCCACTTAAAAAGGATGTGGTCAGGCATGGGAGCTCTGGTACCACCAGTGCCACAGCTATGTTGCCCATAGTGACCTGGCTGTAGGGTTATGCACCTATGTCCTGCAGCCATCGGTTCAGGAGACTCAGTCAGCCTTCTTTAAGACCCCCAAAAAACAGGCTTCCACCAAGAATGACTCCCAGTCCCATAGGCAGAAAGATGTCATGAAGGACAGCTACTGGCAGTTGAATGTAAGTGCCTCACTGCCTTGCTGCTTCCCTGAAAATACTTCACTGCAGAGGTGCTCTCAATTTTTACTACGTTTCACATTACCAAGGCCAGGAGCAAATACAGGATTATTGACAACATTTAATATGCCTTTTGTTTGTTTTGAGAAAATAAGACTTCAAAAGCAGAAGATTAAAAATTTGAAAGGTTAACATCAGGCTTTGTGCTGAAAGCATTCCTCTTCTACCTCCTTTTGTCCCACAGAGCACTCTGTACAAGAACATAAGAGCTCCTGTAGAAGAGCTTACATTGCTGCAATCCTGCTGTTTGACACCACCTCTTGTATGTACAAGCATGCCTAGCAATGGCTTGGCAGGTCTGGCTGATGCATTTGGGCCCAGCTGTGACAGTGGTATTCTAACACAAGAATACCACATCAAATCCAGCAAAACATCTCTGCTGGGGCTGCTGCCGTATGCTGCAATATGATGGGATGCACATTGTCCTGCACCTCTGCCATGTGGCAGAGGAGAGACCAGAGCATGGACCCGTACAGGTTGAAGTCTCCCCTGACTCTCGTGGTCAGGGCAAAAGCTGCCTCATACCTAATCCAACACTGCAAACCAGCACCAGGAGGCTCATAAAGAACACAGGGAAGATGTCCAGAGCAGCATGCCTCCTGGCTTTCTAAACATTCACCCACAGATGTCCCTGCTCTGTCCCCACCTTGGTTCTCTTGAGCTGTACCATCTCAGCTATTCAGCTATAAGGGTGAACTCATCCCCTTTTTACAGCAAAGAGGAAACACCCTTTCAAAGAATCACGTTATTCAGCCACTTCTCATCTACAGACAGACTAGGATTTTGGGGATAAAACCATGACTAAGGTGCTATAATGCAGGACTGACAAGTCAGGCAGCCCTGGAGCAGCAGAACAGGGAGAGCAGCATTGTACTCTTAGCCTTTGGCAACAGTAAATGGGTCACTTTACCTTTCTTGTTCTTCTCTTTTGTCACAACAGTCATGGACATTGTTGGAGTGGTGGCAATCTCACCGCTGGCAGGTAACCTGCTGACCTGGAGGGACCGGAAAGTGCATTTCAGTGTGTTTTTGGTAGTCGAGGGGTCCTTCTTCTCTGGGTCTCTCTTTCTGTCCATGGGTGGAGCTGCAATCCAGTAATCCACCTGGAGGCCCATCAACTCAGCACCAACGCTCTGGCTGCAAAACAAGAGAAGAAGGTAATTTCTGTGCAGCACTCAGTAGAGCTCCCCCCACCTGTGTTTTTCAGAACGGCTGCTGTTCAGAGGACAAGCACCTGGCTCTTTGGGAAATCAGGCAGCAACGTTTCACAGTGAGACCCAATAATCACAAAAACACAGGAAATCATCACTGAGTGATTACACTACAGAGTCACATTACATGGTGGTATCAGTTTGGCAGCACAGAACTGAAATGAACTGAGACAAGCTAACCTACTGCACAGCCATAAGGATGGAGCAGTGGGAAAGTTTCCTAACACGATGCTGAGTTCAATGACTCAACTTGCAAACATGGCCACTGAGGTGGTCCAGATCATTTGCAGTCTTTGAGTGGGAAAGAGGCTGTAAGCACTTTCCTGCTGCCTCTTGACCACCGGTGAGTGAGTGAGTGGCCAGGCACAGCATGGCCAAAATCAGCTCTGAACTGGGGTGAACAAAGAGCTGGTGGGTCCCTCAACATTAGGCACTCAGTTCTCAATCACCCTGTCTTGCTTTCACCTCCTATGGTCATGAGTTCTTCCTGTCACTGGCTGCTTCCCTTCCTGTCCAGATGCTCCACCAAGCCACACAGGATCCCTGCTCTCCGCAGGTCCCTGTAACGAAGTTGGTAGGGGGCAATCTGCCCTGCAGCAGGCTGTGTGCTAGGGAATTCCAGAGCTGGGAAAATGCTCTGCAGGTCCTGTGATGTTTGCTAAACAATGGCAGATTTCAGGACATGATCTGCTATTGAAACCTGCCGCCATGCATCATGTGATAACAGATGTGCATCACCAAAACATGCTACCAGCCTTTCCTGAGCCAGAAAAACGAAGATGAGCAGCCTGGCAAATTCCACCCCTTACCTGCCTCTCGCTGGCTAGCCCCAAGTAGAGCAGGGGTTTATAATTCAGCAGACCTATGGCTGACAGCCTATACTTCTTCCTACACAATGACAGAGTGCTGAATAATAGGGAAGTACTAGATAAAAAACTAAGTGAATGTATCTACCAGTCTTATCCTCTGTTTGAGAAATGGCAATTATTAAGGAAGAGGAATCCATGATTTCGAATTAAATATTCATCCTTTACACTGCCTGCCTAATGAGAAACTCTCAAGGTACAAGGAGATCCCATAATTAAAGTCCTCTCTGCAAATAATTTCCTTTTCTTTGCCATTCACCTGAAAGCCAGACTGCAGAGTTTGTCTTTGATCACGAAAACCAGGTTTGGAGTTCTCAGGGTAATTTCAGAAGTGAGATTATTTAAAGATAATGTTTTGGAGACGCAGCTTTAGATTTTAAGGCTCTTTACATCACACTTCTCATATCAGTTATAAACACAAAGCATCCTAATGTTCACTATGTCCAGACAGGATTTTCTGTTCCATTCCCAGTTACAACATGTGGCCTAATCTTTCAGTCTGGGTCACCCTCCACCCCATGCTGTCACACACAGATCACTGGAGATGGAACCATGTTGAACCTCAACTTCCTCATTTCTTGACAATTTTACCACACAGCATGAAACCAAAAGGTACCAGAACCTAGAACGAGGGTGTCAACTTCAGATGTATCATATCCATGGCTCACAACTTTAATAGCCTAAAGTCTTGGGGGAATGGACTCCCAAACCACTTCCACCTTTGGAAAGCCCCCAGAGAGCTCACATTTAGGAAGGCAGCTTGGCTCTTCTGAGCCAACACAGTCCCCATCTCTCTGCACTGCCAACCAGCTGCTGGGACCAGCCTGGGGCATGGGACTCTCCCGCCACCATACCACAGGGGACCAACAGGAAGGACTTGGGGAATTGTGCATCCTGGCACAGGCTAACAACCGTTAACACCTTCTGGTTGCTGGGCACCTGCTAAACTGGGACTTCCACATTTCCATTTCCTCTTGTTAAAAGGGAACTCTCTTAAGCCAGTTTAAGAAGTCAGAGGTTAAAGGTCCCCATTCTGTCTCCAGGGACAACAAGAGGTGCTGCTTAGGGAGAGCATGTGAGCCCAATCTCTAACTGCAGAGCATTTCCTTACACTTCACCAGCCTGACAAAAGGATTAGGGATGTTAGAGGGGACATTCCTGAATCATCCTGTAGTAACCGTTAATGGACCTGCTATGCATGAATTTGCCTAACTCCTATTTGATTACTGAAAACAGCTGCCACTGAAGTAGCTCAGGCAGACATGGTCCCAACATGTCTTTCCAGCTGTGTGCAGAAGTCCCTTCCCTTCTCCCTTTTAGGTGACCTCTTGACAGTGCTGCTGTGTGCCCCCAGGTCCTGTACCACAGATTTGATGAATGACAGTTCGATACGCAACAAACCCACCACCACTGTGATTTTGCAAAACTTCAGTGGCTTACCTCTTTCCTCCCCTTCCCCCTAACAGAGTCCATCACTTCTAGTCTCCCCTCACAAGGCTGCTGCTCTGTCCCCTTGACCCTGTTAACTCCCCAGAACCTTTAACTTCACCATCTGCTTCCAAGTACCAGAACTGCACACAAAGCATTACAGATAGCTACGCCAATTTTTTGCACACCAACAAAATGAGAGTCCTGGCCAGCGCAATTCTTTACTAGCAGTTTTATAGGGGTTTCCTCCCTTCACCCCTAAAAATTTTAGCTAAGCCAGAGCTTCAGGTTGCCTACAGGCGCTGTCTTCCTCCTGCTGTGATATGCTTTCAGGCATGCACATAAACAGGAACTGCAATTCCACTACGCTATCTTACACCTGTCAGCTCTCCCCTCACAGAAAAAAAAGCTTGCTTATTTAACAGAGTCACTCTGACCTTCTACTCACTTGATACTTAAAAACATAAGAAACACGAGGAATTAAGCTAGGATCAGTATTTTCTTTGGCTACATATCTCCCTAAGAGAATCTAGTCTCAAAGAGAAAATACCAACAGATGGAGAATAGAAACCTTCCCAAACAGGCTGCCACAATGGCTCATAAGAATCAGGGTTTCTGCCAGACTATCAGAAACAAGGCCCCCCTTTCTAGTTCAAATGTGTTTGCCCTTGAGAAGCAAAGCCTTTCCAATAGGTGCAAGATCCCCCCTGCCCTCCCCAGCTCCTAGTCAGCCAGCAAAGACACAGTCACTCCAGGGGTAAAAGAGGTGAAAGGGAAAGGTGACAACTTCAAGTGTTTGCTAGGAAGGAAGACAGCAGACCTATAGGTTTTTCTTTACAAAACTTTTCCTCTCTCACATATATGTCAGTTAAGATAGCCAAGGGGGCTGTAAGGAGACAAAACATGCTTTACCTTGAGGAAGAGAAGCTGCCTGTGACAGACGGTGAGGAAGGTGGTGTGGGGGAGGCTTCTTTCACAGCAGGTGACACAGAAGGTGGGGTAGAAGAAAGGACACTGGAGCTTGAGGGAGCTGCGTCATCAGAGTCACCTTGCAGAAGAGAAGTCAAACTGTCTGGGATCGTCGCACAGCACAACACATGCACACCGGATAGCTCAGTCCCTTTGCTCATGTCCCTGCTGTGCAGGTTTTGTGCGGACTCAATCAGAGATCAGCTAGCCCATCACTTCTGACTGCCTCCACACTTAAACTGTGGGACTTTCTGTTTGGGTAAGAGGCAGGCACAGGCATTCACACTCCTCTGGGCTCCTGCAGAGTGACCCACAGAAGGGCTGCCTCTACAGAGAAAGCTATGTGTAACCCAGGCCACAGGAATCTGGGTTTAATAGTGAAGTAATGTAAGAAACAATCCCAATAGATGAGGGAAAAAGTATTCCTGACTAGAACTGCATTTGAAGAAGGAGAAAACATTGACAGAACAGCACTACCTCATGTCCATGTGTGTAACCAGGCAGTATTGTGTACCTCAGCTTTGCACTCTCCAGTTAAAAAAAAGTGTCTAAATTTGTTGTCAGATTGGTGAACTGGTTGCCTATCCCGGAGTTCCCAGTGCTAGGCACATGTTTGAGGCTTATTTTATTAGGCAATTGAGCCCTAACTGTGTAGGAAGCGTAAGGAGACAGGCATGAACTTCCGATGAACTGCCTCCCCAGTTTGGAGCAGAAACCTCAAATAACCACAGCAGTGACTGCACCCCTCTGAGAACACACATAAGAAAAATTGGTGTTTGTACATGTATAAGCGGAACTTCCCTGGATGAGGGTGTGGGGATTTCAGCTGGCCTGAAGCTCCTTGTAAAACAACAGAAAGGGCCTCTCTGAAGAGAGAGGCCTCTCTTTCTGCAGACAGCTGCTGGGATTCAAGGTAACGGAACTGGGAGATAGTGAGACCCAATTCCCCCTTACAAAACGCCAAGATGTCAGCAATGGACAAGTTTGTTCAGCCTGTGAAGTCAGGCTCCCACGACCTGCACGACACAGAGCACACACAAGATGCTGGTTACCTGATGTTGCAGAAGATTGTTCCACTATTCCAACCTTCACCACCTAGAGAGGGCAAAACAGAAGATCTCTGTGAAACATGAGACCCCTGAACTTCAGGCATCCCCAAACCAAGCTCATCTCTACAGCCCCCTAGCATTGTTCCTGCAAGTCAGAGTAGTGTTAAAGTATGTTAAAAAGTGAAATCTAAGAGCCAGTCAGGTCCCAGCAGTGTCCAGCCAAGCAGTACCAGCTCACAACCCTTCCTTGACCTATACAAAAGACAGCACAGAGCCTGTGGAGCTGTAGCAGACCTGCACAGCTCTGAATAGCCCATTGTCAGCCCCAGGCTATGGCAACTACCATGCCTGCCTGTGACACCTGTGGGAATAGCACAGGGAGGAGAAAGGAACATAAATATCCCCTTAGCACTGCTTTGATACACCTGCTAATTACAGACATACTGCTTCCACCACACCAGTGCAACCACTTCTAGGGTGCAGCATAGCTGGGGTTTGTTAGAAAACCACAAAAACAAAGTATACTTTCTGATCAGAGTTTTCTGGTCTCTAAACAACGGAAGTGTCTGGCAAAGAAGACACAGCTTGTAGCAAAGCCTCTGGGCATAGACCACCACATGGACAGGTCATATTGATCCCAATCTCACTGTAATAAGGATACAAATGTGTTCTGATATGGCCAACCACCAGCTAGGTTAACAATAAATGCCATGGGCAATAATTTGTGGAACAGAGCATGCTACAAAACACAAGCTCCCAAGGACACACTATGCCTAGAAAGATAAAATGACCCGTGGTGATATAAAAGCAGGGGCCTCCTGTAGCAATCATCTGTACAGTGCACAGGGATCATTACTCTCAACACTGCAGAGAGACCCTTCTTAAGGTCTTCTTAAGAAACTTCTTCAGAAACTTGTATTGAGCAGTAATGTCTACCTGTATAAATGCTGACAAATGGAAAAGAGCTGCAAAGGGATCTCAAGTCAATAAAACCTGCTTCAGAATAAAAGATGATGTCATACAGTCTATTTTAGTTTGAAAACAGCAGATTGTTAAATTCAGACATGACCATATCTAGACCACATCTCTAGGGAGCACATTTCTGTGCTATAGGATCAAGTAAAAGGACCTAATCATTAGAAGCCAAAACCTTTGCACAGTTTGGAGTTGGGGGGGTGTACGCTCAACACCAGATCCTGGAGAGGTGTCAGGCTCTCTGGTGGATTCTGTTTGTTCCAGTCTTGAAAAAGCCATAGTGAACTCAGCATTGTGTGCAGAGGCTCCCTGAGGGGACACTGGCCTGGGAGAAGGAGGCTGCAGCTCAGTTCGGCCAGTCTCCACCCAAAGGACAACATACCAGGTTCTGGAGTTCGTTAGCCATTTGTGCTGTATGTGCTAATCCCCAAGAGGATGCTTCACACATTGTAAGCAGCTGCGAGCAAGAGGAGGTGAGGCAGAAGTTAGGGGAAGAACAAGGAACACAGGAAACTGCCTACCAGCCACCTTGAGCTGCAAGCCAGACAGGAAATCTCTCTGGCCTTTTTCCTCCTTGCTGACTGACTAAAGACACTTGGTTCAGACACATGGAAGGAAGAAAAGGTTAAATACTTTCCTTTCCCTCCATTCAGGGAAGCACTTGAGACTGCTGCAGTCCCAACAACGCCTCCATCCAGGAATGCTGCAGCAGCCAGCCTCCTTTGCCTTCAGGAAGGGGGCACATCCTGTTAACTCCCCTGGCAACTGGCTGTCGGCACAACACAGGTGCACAACTGTGCAGTCTCACCGCCAGACTCAGGCTTTCACACCCAAATGGGCCCCCTTGTGAGGCTCCACTCCCACCACTCCAGAGCCCAGCTGAGCAGCAGAGCACTGCCCTGCTTGCTCCTGGGTCACAGACTGTGCAGCTCAGCTGTAGGACATCAGGTTTTGCACTCTAAAAGCCAACAGAGACCAGCAGACATCAGGAGTCAGAAAACCAAATGTCACTAGCTCCTGTACTTCCTTTGCCAACAGCTCCAGCAGGCTGCAGGGAAGAGCTTCCATGTTCACCCTCAAACTTTGTAAGACACCTGCAACTGGCCTTGAGTCTCTTCAGATGTGTCTCATGGGGAATTACTATGTCAGGAACACTTCAGAAGCAAGAATAAGCAGCACTGATTTGCCCTCATCATCAGCCTGTGCTTTCACGACAAGTTTTGTTGGGAGCTGGCAGCATTATGCACACAACAGAGCTGTTTACTCTTGCCACTTTCAGACAATCAAATCCATACTGGAAATGCACTGCTAATGTTTTTGAGCAACTGGACAAACACTGAGCCCCATTTTCTTGCACATAGCACTGAACTAGGCCCCAGAGAAAAGCATTGCAGAGCCTAGCAGCTATTGTGAGACAAGTCCAGGAGCTTCCAAGCTCTTCTGAGCTTATATTTATGTTACTGGGAAAGGTGAAACTGCTGTTTTGTAACACCAGTTCTTCAGCAGCAATCACAGTTCATGGAATGGGCAAAGTCAAAGCAAAGCTGATTAGCAGGGAACAAATCAGGAAGATGCATCTCCGCTTTTGCAGAAGACATCTTTCCTTCAGCAAATAAAAGTAGGTCGACATCTCAGGAACAGGACAGAGAGAGACTCTCACTCTTAAGAGACACCAGAGTGAAAGCATGGTCAGCCTGAGGGCAAGAGAGACTGAGCTCTTTAAACACCCTGGGATTTCAGATTAGCTTTGACGCACTAACAGGGATACAAATAGGAATGCACACAAGTCAGCTTAACACAGAGGGGGCAGAACAAGACAGCCAGCATGCAAGAAAGAGAAGCTACAAAAGAGCCGCAAAAACTGTGACGAGGACATCCAGTAGCTGAAGAGCAGTCAGGAAAAATCCTTTTGGCCACAGGTCAATGACTTTATACCTAAAACTTAATGAATTGAAAAGCATGATCAAATAAGGGGAAGGAAGCTATAAAAGGCAAAGTACACAGTGCACAAAACACACTGACAGAAACACACACTCCTGCCTACATACTCTGTGCTTAGCCACCTGAGTTGGGAATATTTAATGATAATGACAGGAGGAAAAGCCAGGGACTGCTATCCCAAACACATATTCACATAATGAAATTCATTAAATAGCTACTGCCCAAGTCTCAAACTTAACAGTGGTATAAAATGAGCTCCTTGGTGGAAAGTACTCTCCACTTCCCAGAAGTAAATGAGGACTGGAGATCATTCATGACAAACACACAGAATACTGACACTGAAATAGCAAATTCGGCCAAATCCATCACCCAGGGCGATACTGGGCACAACAATATTGACATCATGTTTCCAGGAACACACCACCTTCCTCCACATGCAGCCCAGCAGTAATCCTCCACCATGTAGGTGCTTTGGTCTGCAGCAAAAGACAGGCTGTGGATCAGAGCACTTCAGCATCACACTTTCCTCGCTGTATTGAATGAGCAAGGCTATGGTGCCTGCTTCAGTGCCTACATGCATGCAGCACAGAGCTGCCCACAGCCACCTGCCGGGAAAGCAAAATACACCCTTTACTTTGTTGAGGGATTGTAGAGGCTTGCTTACATCCCAGGCAGATGCATCAATTATCAGATGCTCATGCTGACACTCTGCCTTAGAGCACCCACTGCTCCTGCTCTACCCCAGAAACCTGATATATTTAGGTTAACACCTGTGGATGTACTCTAGCTGGCTTGAGACAGCATAACTAAGACAACACTCACCCCGACAAAGGGAATGAACTTCTGCGAAGATTCTTCATCAGGGCTAAAGGCAAAGAGAAAAGAGTTGTTAGCAGCTTGCTTCCTCACTGGACACAATACTCACTTCATATGTTGCATTCAAGCATGCAGCAGGGACGGACAGTATGCAAGCGCCAGTCCAATGTCTCCTCTCAAGGCCCCCTGCCAGCACGCTAAGAATCTGCATGGGTGGGGAAGAGCACGCAGCTTACGGCACATCTCTCAGGGAAAGGTCTCTTCCTCCCTCCCTCACGCTTGACAGAGAAACATGCTTTAATGGCATTGCAGTCATTACAGACACACGACCTCCTACTGCAAGGAAATGGATCTGTGCCACAACAACACTGAGAACTGTGCGTTACTTACTAGTACCTGAAGCGCTCTGCACGCATGGCCTTCACGCGTCCCACCTTTGGAGTCATGTGCCATACCTTGCATATCCCAGCATCGCTAAAGCAGTTAGCCTGCCACAGGGTTACAAGCTGTGACACGTGGTTATTCGTATAGCACTAGCAAGTACGTGTACACACACACACAAACACACACACTCATGCACACAGATACATGTTCCCTGACACTGGGAGCTTGCAGTCCCCTAGACAGGCACACTAGAGAGGTTGGGCACCAGAGCCCACTGGGTAGATCAGGACACCAACTTGAGAACAGCAAACAGCTAAACCAAACTGAACAAAATGCACACCATGTCCCAGAAACAACTGAAGACAACACTACACGTGTTTTGAAAGCAGGAAGGCATCAGCCCTTCCTGCTCTGGCCCTGCCCAGGATTCAGAAGCCAGAGGGTGGAAAAGGGCCAGCAACAAAAGCCACAGTCAAACCTAGCAGGAATTAGGGAGAGACCCAACAAAGACAAGAGGGGGAAGACCTGCTGGGAGGGCCTGCAGAACCTCTGCTTCCTTCAAGGGCACAGAGATGAAGGGACCCACAGGGTGAGGAGAGGGCTGCAGGAGCATGTTCATGAACTATGATTCAGCACTAGAAGTGACTACATCGGCAAGACACACAACATTTCTCAGTGGCCAAGCACAGGAAACAGGTAGGAAGCAGACAAACACTAAGAATTCTCATGTTTCTCTTGTGCATCCCTCATAGCTTGGAGCACTGCAATGTTCAATGAAAGACCATCCAGCATTTTCTTCACCCAGAATATCACTGGGTAGAGCACAAACACTTCAGGAAAGCAGGTATTTCTGTGCTGTTTCCAGCACAGATCAGAAATGCATCAAATACACAAAGGTTGCTAACCATTGTGTGATTAGCACAATTTCCTCTAAGCCCTATGGAAAGAGTGGCATAGAACTGCAGCAAACACAACCCAGCCAGAACTCCTTCCTGGTCCGAAGCAGAGTGTGCTTGCGTAAACAGCCTCTCACTTTGCCTCAGCTCTGCTTACCTTTCCCTAAGGCAAAGCCAGGGGCTTTGATCCCTTCCTACCTCACAACCTCAGGCACCACGCCTTCATTCTTCCCCCAAAGCACATGACAAAATGACCAAGTCCCCAATTCTGTGATGGAAGCCAGAAAGGTTGCCTCTTTCCAAACATGGCTGCAGGCTCCCCGGCAATAAATCTCCTACAAACATGACACTTCCAGCTTCAGTTTTGCAAAGGGAAACAAGAAACATGCAGAGCTGTTGGGAGAAGAACAGAACAGCTTTCTTCTCATTTCTTCAGTTCCATGGGCTGAGAAGCAGGCAGAAGCGAGTCCCGCTGACCAAGTGAGGAAAGCACAATAGTCTCCCAAGCATCTCAGCTACTGGATGGCTTTCCTCTGAGCTCTTAAAAGCAAACCATGCCCAACTCCAGCAGAAAACTAATTTTTGTTCCCCCTGGGAGCCGAGACTCCCACTGAGGAGAGCTCAGGGACAATTCTGAAATAAATAATTTGCTCAGCCACCATTTATCACAGCTCACAATGATGCACAGACGGTTCCTGAAGCAATCCAGCTGGATTTCAGCTCAGCTAGTCTAGTCCTTTCACACATCTTTGGAACTCTGATCTTGCACATGTGCCTCTGAAAACACAGCTTATCAAAGCAGCTGCTCTTCATGTGGATGAAAGGAAAGCTGAGATGACCATGCTTGTTCTTCACCCATTCTTTCATGCTCTTTCCTGATTCTTGTCCTTCAGGATCCCAAAATATTAATCCAGAGTCCTTTCACCTTGGTGATGGTCTCTTCTATTCCTCCTACCACAGCCCTGAAATTAAAATATCCCCTGTCTCTGACAAAGCAGTCTCCCCCCTTATACCTCAGCTGCACAGATTCCCTGTGAGATCTCCTACCCCCCCCCAGCCATGTCCAAGGCATTAATTTTATCCATAGGGCCCTGGTATCTCACCTGTAATTTAAAGCCAGGCCTGACTGTGATTTGTGATGTTTAACAGTATTACTGATACTTCACCTTTGTAATTTTTGGGGGAAAAAAAACCAACCACCCACAAACACATTCTGAGGAAAACCAAAAACCAGACCTATGCAGAGAGACTAGACAGAAAGTCCTTATCTGGAATGGGGAGCTGTCTAATCAGTGTTTTTGCTTGGGCAAAATCCATCCACCTGCAGTCAGTCCTTGAAAGGTAAACTGTCCAGAAATGGACTTGCAGGTTCCATTCCTACAATAAGAAATTAATTCAGATTGAACAAAGACAGATAGTCAGATTTATGTTTTAGGACTCCTGGAAAGGACAAGCCACCACACCACCAGAAGTCACCCACCTGACAACGAGAAATAATAAACTCTCACACTTTTGAGGAAGAGTACAAACTAAGCTGCAAAGCACTGGGGTATTACAGTAAGAGGGACTGAACAGTCACAGCAGTTATGCCACTTACTAGCCTTTTCGTAAGATTTTATTTAAAATTTAAGCAACCCAAAACAGATTTCCTAGCAGGAGCGTCTCAAGTACTACCTTTATTCGAGGCAAGTGCTGCAGGGGTGCAACAGGAAAGAGGGGACTTTTACTGAAGGACTAACAGGCCTCTAAGCCACTTCAGGCCAGGCACTATACCAACAACTTTCCAAGGTTCATCTTTGGTACGAAGCATCTTTCTTTCCCACTGGGCAACTATAACTGTCTGCTGGCTAACACTGTCCCTGCTCCACAAGTCTCCAGTGATCAAACTCTCCAACGGGACAGAACAACTCCAGGTCCCCATGACACATCAGGCAAGTCACCTCTCTGCTTCCTCATGAAACTCCCGTCCAGCACCCTTCTTGCTCCTACAGCTGGCTGGACATATCTCAACAGGACATCCAGCATTTCGTGAGCTTTGACTCTTCCCTTATGCACTGCTCTGCCAGAAAAAGGGCACAAGTAAACTCCTGTTATGTTCCCACCAGCTGCCCAAAGAGGTTCATGCAGCAACCGGCCAGATGACATGGGCACTGCTGAACCAGAGAAGGGACAGGATCCATCTTCACCAGCTGTGTCCATGTTCAGCAACTGCTGGAGGGTGTGTTTTAGAAGCAGCACTCAAGAGAAATGACTCGACTGTGCCTAGCTGCTGCCCTGCAGAGCCTCAGAGACACACAGCAGGCAGAAAACAGTGTTACGTAGTTTCCTATTCTCCAGCAACCCCCCAATGCAAGGCACTTACGCTCCAGGGAGCAAGAGTTGAGGAAGTGCTCTACAAAACATAAGAGTGAAGAGCTACTAAATGTGTAACTAGGTAGGAAATGACCCAGCCCTTGCCCTGAAAAGCAAGTAATGCTTTCATTTCCAACAGCCATGCTGCTCCCCAGATTTGTGCAAGGGCTATCCAGAAGCAACATGTCATGAGCTATGCTGGACACTGAATTATAGTGAGTGACACCAGCCCAGGTTCACAGAACTGAGCAGAAATCCAACCACACTGGGAAGGAGTGTCTGTCAAGTCTCAGATCTGAAATATCACGAAGTTTCATTCATGAAAACAATGCAGAGAGATATCAGCATCAATGATATACCCCTCCTAGTGAGAGGGCCACCTCTGCCACTATCGTCTCAGCTCCCCAGATGTTGCCCAGACTGCAGTGCTCTTGACAATTCAGTAACCAGTAATTCTCCCAGTGCTCACAGACAAACTCAGTCACCCAATGTAATGCAGAGCAGCTGAAATGGCAATTCATTTCCTTTCTGAACCTCTTCCTCATTGACAGCCCCCTTTATTTCAGGTAAGGTCAGCAGATGTTCCAAAAGAATGGACAAAGCTTTCACACCATTGCAGTCCATCACAGGCAGTACATGCGCCAACCTTTTGCCATGACAAACAGAACAAAGGGATAAGAAGGAGAGCAGAGGTAAGTCAAAGTAGGGATAGCTGGCAATAAAATTGTAAAGCAGCTCATTACATACAGCTATGTTCTAAAGGCTGGCTTGGCTTTCCTTGGACCACTAGGGCTTGTTTAACAGAGCAAATGCTAGGATACTGGGAGATTTGTCTTGCAATGAATTTGTAGGTACCGCTGCTGTTTCTACATGGACCACTGCCTTGAAAGCTGGCCTTGGAGACAGTATTCACTTCTGGCCTTGAGGGAGAGGGAGTTGCAGTAATTTTGTGAACTGAGGACAAAATAAACAATGCTCAATAATCATATGATTTGAAGTAGGGGGCCATGCAGAGCAGGGGGGTCTTGTAGGCAGCTCAGAGAGCACAACTCCACTGCTAGCACACATCTGTCTCCTCTTTCTTAAGCTCAGAGAAGTCCCATAGCCTGCTAGTAAGAGACTAATCAATTTTTTAGACGAGAGGAAGAAGATTTGCTGGTCTGCACTTAAGACACTGCACAGCTGAACCCCACCCTGAGCCACCGAGTGCCATCTACAGCACTCTAGTTACAACAAATGGGAACTGAAAAGCCTTTGCTCAGTTCTGATCCTTTTGGAGCTACACTATATTCTCTGATGACTAGGAAGAAAGGAAGAAAAAAACCTTTGCCTTCTTTGTGTTTTACTGCTCAAAGCTACTCTTTCTCAATAACCCCTTTATTTCCATTCAATCTACAACCTGGGAACCTGTATGTGTGGTCCAAAGGCAGAGCAGTCATTGTCAACAACACGTTCTGCCAGCAGATGCCACAGTTTCAAAGCAGCAAGCAGCATTTAATCTAAAGCACAAATTGTGCATCCCAGACCTGCAAGAACTGTTAAACAAGGCTCAAAAGACAAGTTCATGGGGGAAAAGAGGCAGGAGATAGGAGAGGGAACCTAAAAGGAACTGATACCTTAAGGTAAAATCAAAATGAAAGCTCTTTTTCCTTTTCAGAAAGCAACCAAAGAAAGAGATAAATATGTTATTATACTTACAGAAAAGTGATGCATTAATTCAATTGTGCTAATGGAGACACAATTTCTGTGCTGTTCGTCACAATACACCCCCTAAACTGCTGCCAATGACAGAGAGCTGCAGTTCTAAAGAAAGCCACACGGGGAGGTAACTGCCCATCACTCCATGGGAGAGCGTGTTCCTCTAACACACTCCAGTTCGCTCATAGGGTACTTAGCTGAAAGCGGAAATTACTTTAAAGTGGACACAACAGAAACTAACAGATACTTTAGGCTGTGCCACAAGTCTGACTACAAGTCTCAGCAATCTCTCTTCCAAGTAACCATCTGCAGGGTCTGATCCTGATTTAAGTCTATTGACAGCTTCAGACATGGTACCACCAAGTCCAGAGGGTCTAAAATCCAAATGTGTCATCACCCCAGCTTGGTTAAGCAGTCATTCACACTGCTAGGGAGCTAAACGCTGTGTGTTGCTGAAGTACATTTCAGAGTTTTTCAACACAGTACCAAACTGAGGTTTTGGGGCACATTAGAAACTGAAAATGATTAAATGTATGTTAATGACAAAAAATGAACCTATAACAGAATGGAGAAGGCAGTGGAGAGCAGTGCAGAACCCAATAACCAAAGGATGTGGAGAAAGAACAAGGCAGCCATCAGAATGGACTGCACTAAGGGTGTTTGAACTCCATGCTGGTAACTAAGGTAAGTCTCCACACCAAAAACAAAATGAAAGCTTGAAGCTAAGTGCTTCAAGTACCCTGTGGCTCTCCAAACATCACCTTTATCAGGTTAACATCACAAAAGTTCACAAACACATGAAGAGTGTGCACTCTTCTTAATGAACTAGTCAGTCTGGAAATATTTTCCCTAGGAGCGCATGAAGAATGGGCTAAATGTTACTGAATCATTTCAGCAAAGCAATGTAGAGCAGGAATGAAAAATTAATACACAATGAGCATTTCCAAAAAGAGGGGAAAAAAGTGACTCTATCCACACCTTTAATTCCTTCCAATTCTTACACAAAGGAGGCACTAATGGGGGATGTTGATAGACCAAAAATGAAAGATCAGCTATAGCATGGGAAGGGTAGTAATTAACAATTAACAGCATCCATGTCTCACAGGAGATTGCTAGTCCTTTGTCCTGTTCTCAGAAATAATTGGGATGTAAGTTGGAGTCTATTATTCTCATCTGTGCCTCAGAAACAATGCATCTCTGCCCTTCAGTGACAATTACTCTTCTTCCTGGACCATGGCCACATGAGGCTCTACATTCTTCTGAAACCTTGTTTTCAGACCCCAATCCTCCCTCCTAAGGATGTTTATCCCTGAAGAGAAGTTGAAATAAAATCTGGTGAATGTCAGCCCTCCCCAGTAGGAATCCTGGTAGTCTGCAACTGTCAATCAACAAGGAATTTGTCTCTCCTGTGAGAAGCTCTGCTATTTACACTCTAAAAAGAATGTGTTTCAATTCCCCCATATAAAAAGGCCAGATCTCATGGAAGACACTTTGGGTGAGAATGCACAGTCCAGTCTTACTCACCCAATGTCTCTGTGGTAAGAGATCTCTGGAACCTAAGCAGATATAATCTGTCCATTCCCCATCCTGCCTTGTCCCCACTTCCCCAAACCTCTCATGTCTTCAAAGAAGTCACTGCACTTAAAATAACTACACTGCTGTAGATTCACTGTTATCTAAATGGGACATACCACTGGGTGCAGACTACTGTAAGGCTCCTAGGGTGTTTGCAATTTGGAGTGACTTTAAGACTGCTGGCACACAAGATGAGAAAAGCACTTTGCTTTCAACCTGATGTTCACTCTGGAGAGTAAGTATTACGTTAGTGACATACCTTTTCTGCTTGTACGTCAGCATTGCTTCAGCAATGGGCAATTGGTGTGCACAGTTTGCACCTGCTATATACTGCGTTATCCGGGAGACAACATCAGGTGTTTCTTGAACTGCAACAGAACAAAGACAAAGTAATTTAAGTGACTTCTCAGACCATCACCAGCACTGTCCTCCATTTGCTCAGCCAGCATTTCAACTTCATCTTCTGAAGGAAGCTCTGCAGTCTACCCCAGAGCACGGCAGTCTGACCAAAAGCAAACATCCTACAAGAGCACCAAGGTAAAAACATTAGGAAGGCACACTGGATTCACAGACATCTGTACACATCATTATTGACTGAAGTATTATGGTTATTTTATATTTGTGAAAGTGCTTTTTTTTTTTTGGAAAGTGCTTACCTGCCCAGAGTCAGTTTTAGACCTTTTGCACCTTGACTGTAGGTGTCTGCTAAAGAACATGCCTAGCCATCTCTTCCAGGGCCTTGGTGAGCTGCTCTGCTCACACCAGTATTTGAGTTACCTGATTTCCTAATGAATTCACGGCCTTGCTGAGTTAACTGGAAAGACTGAGAGCCACACAAGGGTAGGAAGAGCACAAAGATCACACGTGTAGCAGCAAGTATGCTTCAGATCTGTGGGACTGTGTTTAATTCAAGTTGACAGGAAGACATTTCCTAAATGCCTTCCATATTTCTTTGGTTTCAAGCAAAGAGCCACAGCTGAGATCAAGGGAATGCAAGAGAGTATCACCAGGCACATATCACCACAATACCTTAATGGACATTTTAACTCAAACTCTTTGAATTTGAACTGTGAACTGTGAAGAATTAGGATTCTTCACCATATCAACATATGCCACTACAGTGTTTAAGTACAGTTCTCCCTGCACAAATGAAAATGGAGAACCTAAAAGGTCTGGACTACACAAAAATGAGTCTGAATTTTCCTCATAGCAGTCAGGCAAATAAATAAGGGCTGCAGCATACAACCAACGAAGGAACAGATATGGCTCTCAAGCTGGATTTGTATAGCTAATGAAGGATTCCTAACCCAGACACAAAAAATAAGTCTATATTGATATCTGTCTGCATTCCCAAGTGCAGCAGGGAATGAAAAGAAACCAGTTCCAGAAATCTGTTCCTCCACAAGCTTAGAATCAAAGTAAAGTGTAGGTTAGATGGCATACCAGGAGACCTCTAGTCCAGCATCTTGCTTCAAGCAAGGCTAAAACTTCACCTTTATAACAGGCTGCCCAAGGACTTGTCCAGCCAAGTTCCCATTTGCTGGAAAAAGCTCTGAACAATCACCTGTGAAGAGGTCTCTCTTGCCTCCTCTTACGGCTAGAGGACTTCTAAGAGCATCCTGGGAGCTCCAGGCACTCATCAATTCCAACAGGAGAACCACACTACAACCTCCCCACCCTCCTGGTGATCCAAACTCTCCAAAGCTTTTTCCTTCCAGTGAAATTTCTGTATGGGATATGCTGCCATGAGGGCATGACTCCTCAGTCAAGTCTCAAGCCTTCACGTAGCCCTAAATGTCAGATACAAATCTTCCTTTCTCCTGTTTCTTTCTGTCCTTGAAGGAATGGATGGAAAAACTGTAAGCATTAATATTTTAAGTAAATTAGTACACTAACACTGTGAGGCTTTATCCTGGCCTAGAACAGACTCAGATAAGAACAGGAACTTGTTGATCTGACCTAGGGCAGCTCCCATGTCTTACAACACTGGTGAAGAATAAAATAATGTTTTAACAAGAAAGATCCTGCCAGCAGACTTCAGAAATGTCAAGGTCATCTTCACACACAACTAATAGGAGATAATCTTCCAAGAGCTTCCAGTTTTCCAAACCTTTCAGGCTAGACAGTTTGTGAAAGGCCAAAGAAAGCAATGTACTAAACTTGGTAATGAGAACTCCACATCAAAAAACAAACCTGAGGTAGGTAAAACCAGCATGACTCAGAGGCAACTAGTGCCTCTGGGAGCCAACAACTGTTTGCAAACCACCACATGGAGGACATACAAAGGTCAGCATCTGAAAAGGGAATGTGGTGGAGAGGGGAGAAAAGAGGAACAAAAACCTTTGTCTGCTTCCTCTTGTATTTACTTGACATTTGCTGAAATTACTCATTCAAGCCTTTCATCCCCCACACAGGCCACACACAGACACATGGTCTTACCAGTGGTCTGTGCTTCAAGTTTGTTGAACAGATCTCTCCAGGCTAGATCTTGGAAGAAGTTGTTGTATCTATAATCTACAGACCCCAGGTATTTGGCCACTGGATGAGAGCCTAAGAGAGAAAGGAAAACATGACAGCTGTTCTTCCCAGCCCCAAACATTGTGTTCTTTTATCTGTAAGGAATTAAATTCCAAAATCAAAACTACACTAGACACCCCAGAAATAAATCTCTTCCATAATAACCAAGTAATTTAGTCCACCTTATCTTTACAAGAGCATGCAAAAAAACTTCCCAGCAGAGAGACTGCTTTAACACCACGATACCTTTCAGTGACATCTCCCTTTCTCCTGCCAAATTAAATTTTAAAAAGCCAAAGAAAACAGGACTGGGAAACTGCCGAAGAAATAAATGATCTGGAAGACATGGATGCCCTATGGCTCTCCATCTCAGTCGCGCAGCTTTGCAAGGGGCTTTCCCAGCAGCCCTTCCTGACCACAGCCTGCACTGCAGCCAGGACACCTCTGCAAAAGGAGTCAGACACCTTCTTCCAAATACCATTTGCACACCACAGCTGCTTTATAACACCTCCATACACCATTTGCACACCACATCTATTTTACAATACCAAGAAGAGGCAATTGTCTCCAACCAGGAAAAACAACCCAGAGAGGCTTGTTCAATTGGTGGAGAAAGGCTGAAAGTTTAATAAATAGGTTGGAATTCAAAACAGGAAGCAGAGTGCAAGGATTAGAGTCCCCCAGTGAATGCTGGCATATGCACCAGGTCCCTGCTTGCTCTGGCTAAGCCTTATGGCTCCTCTATGAACATGTAAAGACTTCCTTGCATGAAGTTTGTGTTCCCAACCTCCACCCTGGATGGAAATATGACTTTATACTTATACTGAGGAGGACAGGGAAGGCACTTAAGTGACAAACTCTGCCTTGGGAGACGGTGAAGATTTCCCACCTGCAGTTTAGGCCACATGTGTCCCCAGACCATACAACCCACTCTTCAACTACCCCCTCCAGTCTTTTCAACACATGAGAAGAGTTGTGCCTTCCAGTCTCCACAATTCAGTCACACTCAGCATAAAGTCCTGTACATTTGCAATCAGCCATGAAGTAGCCTCAGGGTTCCTACCAATCATCTCATTTTTACCCTTCCTGCGTACGAAGTTCTCACATCAAGCCACACTTCCAGGGACTTCCAGTTGAGTCATCAGCTGGTAACTGGTAACCTGACAGCTACTTCCAAGAAGACCCAGCTGCTTAACTACATTCACCGCCCTCCAAATAAAGCTCATGGTGGAAAAACCTCAACTCTCTTCGCAGTGCTCCAAAATGGGGCTAATTTCCAGACTTCCAGGAAAGGTTCAAGCAGAAGGTCTCTCTGAACTTTCCTTGATGTCATTAGACTGTGGTCTAAGTTCTTTCCTGGACCCCACTGATCATGGCTAGTTTCAGACCCATCATTTCTTTTTCAGTGGAGTTTTAAACAGTGCACGTGGAACAGCTCTGCACCATGCACTGGAAAAGCCTTCCCACATGCTGGGAAGACACACTGCATGTGGCAGATGCAGTTGGAAGCACATACTGATGACATGCTTGGGGACTTCGAGGTCCCCAAGAAGTTCTATCCCTGGGAGCTAACTAAAATGCTAAAAAAAAACCACCAACCAAACAAAATTATCCCCTACGTATTATTTTATTTGCCCCTTTTCAGTTGCTTATAGGCTGGTTCGGACATCAAAGGAGTCCTTCAGCCATAGAATCAGAAGCTGAAGTGCAACTCCCAGTGTGGATGCTTACAGACACTGAGCATTTCTCATTGTTAATAAAATACTCTGCAGCATGTAGTTGCAAATTAAGCACGTAACACCATCTTAGGAAAAACTCTGCCATTCCTACTTCGAAGGTGCTGCTAACAGTAGGAAGTCTTTTCTCTTTACACATTTCTGGCACAGTCACCATTCTGTCTTTGGTGCTTTTTTTAATTGTCAGAAAAGAGAGGCTGCTCCTCAATCACTTTTATGAACTGCCAGAAAGCTGACCAGGAAATACAGCAGACTTCCATGAAAAGGTCCTGTTAGAAAAGTTTCTATATTTAAAGTACATTTAAAAAATATTCACCATTCTGAAGCAGTTCCGTTAACAAAGTGCTTTGGTAATTTTCTTTTTTTTTTAATTCCGAAAGAAAGTTTTAAGTTTAAAAAAAAAAACAACACAAAAGACACAATGGCTACATCTTGTATTTCACTTTCAAAGAGAGAATATTTTCAGACCATTAAAGACTGCAGGACAGAAAACTCTTCTTCTGAGGCCAGGAGACAGCATGCAAGGACCAAAGCTCTTGGTAAAACAGACTCTCATTCAAAGCACATTTAACCTTGCAGAAATATTTATTTTGTTTTTACCCCCTAAGGGGCTCTCTTTTCTCTTCCTGCCAACTGTTCTGGAAACTAAATGCCTTTCTTTCTGAAGGATTCAGCTCTCTTCCTCTGCATTTTTCATTTGACTTCTGCAAATCAACAGCCTAACCGTACTGTTTGTGGTGCCTGGCAGCAGCTTCTGACTCCTACAGCAACTGCCATGATCTGGTCACAAACCTAGAAGACTTGGAAAATACTGAGAAAAAGTGATTCTCAAACACCATCACCCAAGTCCCTCATTCACACAATCCAAGCCTTGGACTAGACTGGCTTCTGACATCATGCCCTTATACCACCAACACTGCTTAGATACTCCTGCTGACAAGCATCAGTAACTGCCTGGCTTCCCAGGCCTCACTCCTACAACATTCCTCACATTTCTAACTACTTCAAGACCCCTAACATTATCATCAGTCCACTCAGCTTCCCCCAACACATGCAGTCCAAGCTGAGTTAACTTTCCAGCCAGGCAGGCTTGTTGACCGCTGGAAAGACAGAGATAAAATGCTGGAAAATTGAAGGAAAAACCTGAGGAGAACAGCATGTAAAGGAAAGGTCAAAAGATACATGTAATTTGAATAATTTACTCTCTCAGCAGTTTCACAGCCTTTAAAAATTTTCAAACCCCCTTCCTCCATAAACATTTATTGTGTCAGCCTCAGAGAAGCCAGAGCAGTTATTGCTCTGGGAAACACAGTGCCCAATGAATTTAAGATTTCAGCCAGGGAAAGAGCTTCTACAATGTTACTCCGTGCATTTACTGTGATTAAAAGATACATAGGAGCCTCCCTTTATGGGAGAAGTATTCAACCCCTTGCTTAAAACAAAATGCTTACAAGCACACTTTGGCATCAAGAATGGATGCAGCGAACACGAGATGATTCTAAGAAAGTAAAGATGGTATTCACACATGCAAATGCAGCAACACAAGCATTACACAGTACTACGACAGCATGACATTTGCCTCATTTAACAGCCATATACCAAGATAAAGCTTCCACAAAGGCTTTTCCTGAGGGCGCACATCCCATTTAACCCGTTCATCTTTCTAAGAAGAAAAATTGATCCTTATTTACCTAGAGGGATGATCAAAAATCTCATGTAGCCAAGCCAGTCTGGGGTTTTGTGAGACAGCTGCTCTACAAAGAGCCTCAATACAGCACTGAGGTAATTCTGGGCTCCAGCCACTGCAATTTTAATTGGGTTTGGAGGCTGCGAATTGCAGTTACAGCTAGATAGAAAAAGAGGAAACATTCATAATTGTGCTTCCAACCAGACATTTCAGAACAAGTAAACAAACCTGTTTAATACCAACTACAGCAGAAGAGCAGAATACATGAAGCAGTATCACCAGTGATTAGTAGCAGCTTCAAACATTATTAATAAAATGCAACATTGTTCAATACTTTCTTAATTGGCCTCCTTGGTCCTTCTTTCACATGTCTGGATTATCTAAAGGGCTGGACTCAACTGTCTAGGTTAGAATGTACTTACTGCAACTAACTGCTGTGTCAGAAAACATACTTGGGTACCTACAGCCCTTAGCAGGTACCTAGGGAATACCTTGAGGAAGTAACCTGGGAATTACCGTGGGGGTGTGTGGGAAGAACCATTTAAAAACCTACCTATTAGCTTTGTATGCTTTACTGCTTATTAGATATGACCCATGAGGCAGCCTCCAAAGCACAACCTTTTAAAATTACTGGTGTCGATGAAAGAAATGTACCTTCACGCACATGGCAGAATAGCAACAGTGTGCAGGGCTGGCAGGAGCTGAAGAGTCACACAACCCTGACTTCAGGAGAGTAAACTGGGGAGCAGTATTGGAAGGGAGAAATATTTTACAGCTATTGGGAGGAGAACTCCCTGGGCACTGGGGCACCGGAGCTGAGGTGCTTTTAGAGCTGAGATTCAACAAACCAGACAAACAAAGTGAAAACTTACTATCTCTGTATCCTGGAGACAATAGTGCTGAAAGCTGCCTGAATATCCGCTGAAGAGCATGTGCAGACCACTGGCAAGGTATGCTTTTGCAAGACATCTGACAGATACTGAGGAAAGAACAGAACATTTTGTAGTCTTTTTTTTTGCTACAGCTTGTCTCAAGAAGAAAATCTGCCTCCCCTAGCCTCCTAGGTATTCTCACACCCAAGCACGGGCACTTTCACCATGTCCAATTTGTAAGTCATATGGCTATTTCTCAAATACCTCATCTTTGTGAATCAGCCAAAGGAAAGATCTTCCTCTAGAAAAATGGAAACATTGCACCTTCTTGACAAACACTAACACTATATCCAAAACACAGCAATGACAACTATATAACAGCAATAGTTTATGGCTGCAGGGAGCAGTACAGCAACAGGTCATTCACCTAGCAGACAGCACTGTGTAAGAGCAGATGCTGTCTACTCACCTGCTTCTGGAACTGCAGTAGCATTTCTCTCCGATTTCAAAAGGACTTAAACAAACGCAATGTTCTGGCTACCTTCAAGCGCTAAAAAGGGAACAGTTCTACCAACACATGTATTCCTCATGAGACTGTTTCCTTTCTATGCAGCTAATGGCAAACAACCAAGTTAACACAAACCTCAGGTATACATGGACATAATATTGACAAAACTTGGCTATCACCTCAAGCTTTCAAATTCTGCACCATTAATCTGTATGCTCCAGCCAATGCTACCTTAATGTCCTCTGGTACTGCAAGCACAGGCTGCTAGAATTACTGGAAGATGACCTACAATGACTGATGCCCATCTCCAGAAAGCATTCCTCTACCTTCCAAGTATGGAGAAACAAGAACCAGTAGCTCAGCTGGTATTTTTGCTCCCTCAAACATCGAGATCCTAGCTCTTCCAGAAGCAGAAAGCCAAACCAGACAATGTAACTCTATGACCCTGGCGTAAGTTCTACAGGCCACAGTCACCCTGCACACATTTATTGATCCTCTTCCATGTATATCTTGTTGCTTTCCCAGACTAAGCTTCCAAAAGGAGCAAAGCTCATTCCAAACCTGTAACAAACCACCCCATCTTGACAGCAGAAGAAAGGACTGCTCAGGGTTCTCTTTATACAACTATCACTCAGCCAGAAAAAACAGGTTGACATACCTGCAGCCAGGAATCACAAGCGTGTGTGCAAGGCAACACAGAGCTGACCTGAAATATTTCCTCCTGTGTTCGCCACCTGTGCTTAGAAGTCTCAGCCTAAACCACAGGTCAGTCCTCCCTGCTTCCTTTGTCCCAGACTACCACAGTTGAGAAGCAGGCTCTTGAGTGCAAAGGTCTAGCCATTCTCAGTGTGCTGCTAACCAGAAGGAACAGCATTTCATGGAAGAGAAAAAAAACCAACTCTATTGGAAGACTCAGGTGGGAAAGCTTTACAAGATCCACAGCATCTCCCAGTCAAATGAAATCCAATCTGTAGGCACTGAACACTTAGTATGCTGCCAGCCCCCACGCACCACCACTGCTCTTCCAACCAAGCAGCAGAACCTACTTGGTTAGTGGTAGAGCTCAAGGCCTGTCCATTCCTGAGGAGGAACAGTGAAGAACTGTGCTTCAGGTAACATCTTGTGCCTTTACCTGGCCTTGCCAGTCAGAAGTATTGACAAGAATAATGTTTTCTGGCAGCTGGTCATCGGAAACCAGGATGTGATTTAGTTGGTCATACACCGTTTTCCTGGGGATCTGGAAATAAAGACACAGAGAAAAGAACAGTAGGAGATGTCAGCTCTAATTGTCAAGCCACCAGCTCGAGCCCTTGCAATTCGTAAGAGGTGGCTGTGCATGCCCAGCTCCCCTGCAGGCCCCTTTATTAGCCACCTTAGTTTCATTGGCCATTACTCTTTCTGCCATTCACTTTTACTTATATCACTTCATACCAACAGCAGCACAAGGAATTTTGGATTTATAGAAGCTAGGAACAATCTCCTTCAAGAAGGGGATTAAGTGTGTCTCACAGCTAACAAAAGAATGGTACATATACACTGCACACGTCAGTCCCCTTTAGGAATCCATAGCAATTTGCCTTATTTCAAAGCAGTCATTCCTCAACACAGCCCTGTTAATTTCTCATCATAACAATCTGTCCCAGTGCTTTCAGTTTATGGTGGGCTGACAAAGCAATAAGCTGGCAAAACCCAGCAGACTGAATTGCCATGGTTTAAGCTTAACCCAGGACAAGATGTAAAGTACGGTATCAGCCAAGACAAATACTCTCTTTCCTGAAGCTGCAGGGCCCAGATCTCTTCCAGCAGGGATGGCACTTGGGCCAGAAGGAAAGGAACCACAGGAGACAGTTGGAGAAGAGGAAAAACTATGAGCGGCTGGAGAGACAGCAATCTTTTCCACACCTGTAAGTGGTGCCGCGTGTCTGGAGAGCGTTCATTGTCCAGACTGTTTGCTCTCTCATTCTGTGGCCTCACAGGCTGCCTCTCCTTCAGAGATGTACTCCTTCCCCGACGTCCAGTCTGCTTCCCTTCAGACCTGCTAGAGAGATGTGCTTGAGTTCCAGACCTGGCTTGTATGATATACACATCCCCAAAATCCCAGATCACCCAGTCTGCAACCTCAACAATGTGTGGGGAGGCATTAGGGAATCATGCACATAGACCTGAGTTAGCTTAAGATCTATCTGCTAATTCTGCCTCTGATAGTGCGGAGCACAGAGTACAGCTACAAAGCCTGATCCCAGGAGTCCCAGGCAGACTTCAACAGTCCATGCTAAGACCCACACTGCCATCCTGCTATTGCTACACAAGTATAACAGGATCCAGGCCAAGCAAATAGCAGTCACACACCCAAAAGCGGCACAGAAATACTTCTTCAAAAGAAGATCTATCTGTTTGCGTATAACTGTAGAAACTATACGGTGGGGTTGCTTAAGCCCATATTTACTACCCAGTTTGGGAAAGTTCAATAGGACATAAGTTAGACCTGACAACCACCCTTAAGGCCAAAATCTGCATCAGACATTGACTTAGCAGCACCAGAGTTGTACAAAAACTTCCTTGGACATGGAGTAGGTACAACAAAGGAAACATGAGCAACCTCAGAGCAATGTTGCCCTTCAGGTTTCTGAGGATTCATTTATTAAGTGCTCAAGATCCATCACTTAAGTGCTTGAACACAAGGAGGGTGTCCTTGCAGTCAATAGCTTAAGGCCATAATGAACAAACGTTAGCAATGAGTTGCAGCCCTGCAGCAGGTGCAGTGCTGCATCACCACTCTACCTGGTGGATGGGATAATGAGGGACTCTGTCTTGGTGATCTTCCCGCTGGGTGGGAGCTTCTCAACAAACACATCTGGTGTGGGAAGTTCAGCTTCGGGGACCTCAGCTTGCTGGTTAGGCTCCTGCAAAAACACACGGAACCAGTTCATCAGGAACAAACCCTCCCCTAGGTCTCACTACCACAAGGGCTAGCAGGAGGCACACCAGCTTCTCTCTGTCTGGGGCACATTCGGTCTTCCTCTTCCAGACATGCTAATCACTGCCAAGGGCAGAAGCCAACACTGGCTATTTAGGGCTCCCAGTTCTCAGCTCTGCCTCTCTCACAAGTGAGATGGAGGTAGATAAAGTCCCTAGATATGCTATATGGAATAGGCACTCTTCCAGCTCAAAGCTAGAGACATGTTTTCTCATGAAATGCAGATTAATTCAGTTTACCCAAATGAAATAGCAGAGGGAGAAATGTTACAAACTGCATACCCACAGTAGAGCACCTTGAGCTTTGCAATTTTTATCCTGGGATCAGCTCAATTTCTGCCAATTCAGCTTTAAGTAATACTTCTGTCTGATAAAATGAATATTTTTCAGGACAATGCACATGCTCAGTAGCATACTTCAGGGCAGCCTTACTCAAACCAAGAGAAAGGCTCTTTCAACAGAAGGCCACGTACAGCATTTAAGTTTTGAAAAACTGAGGGACAAGAACCTCCAACAATTAAGGTCAGGAGAAGAGCTGAGCATTATCTTCACTGCAGCTAACGTTACTAAGTTGCGTTGCATATGCAACTGTATGGACAGACTGACACATGGCACAGAATGCAGTTCACAGCTGACACCCAAACTGTCAGGAGTTACATTAAAAAGTGTCTTTTCAACTTACATATGAGACAGTGTCAGAAACACTGTCGCCTGCATGTTTGGTTCCAAGACTCTTTGTCTTTTCAGGCACTTCTACCTGCTTGAGAGAAGAAAAATCATTAGGAGGTATGGCACCAGCACAGCTTTCAGCCATGCTCTCTGGATCAGGCTGTTAAAAAGACACACTTCTCTGTGTAAACACTGCACAGCTCCGCAGGATGACCAGGAGTGCTTCCTGGTCACACCAGGAACAAACACATCTGTGTGGGATGGGCAAAGCAGTAGCTGATACACAGTAGAGGTAAGGAAGTGCCCTGGAATAAGACTGATACTCTATGAGCCTAACATGCCCATACATGAGGAGATGGAAAAGGGGCTGAGCTGCCTCTCAGCGTTTGCTCCCAGCCAGCATGAAAAGAACCCCAACAGCAGTTAGGTAAACCTTTCTCCAACAGTGTCAAGGAGTACCTAAAGCTCCCAGGCAACATCTCCCATCCTGGCAGCCACTTCAAGTACATGTGAAACAGGAGCTATTCATACTGCTAGCAAGTATTCAACATATAACCTAAAGAAGTCCCCCTTGAGTTAATTATTGCTTAAAACAGAACCACAAACAAACAAAACAAAAACCACCACCAAAAAAAAAACCCCACCAAAACCCAAAAAACCCCACAACATTAAACCCCCCTCAAATGAAAACAAAAGCCTCACAACAACAAAACCACAACCAAAAAAAACCCAAAACAAAACCCCCAAACATGTCCCCCCTCCATGTTTTCTTAGCAGAAAATTTGTATCTCTGCATTCAAGTCTCTGGAGGAAGTCAGAGAGGGTGCTTTAATTTACACATGCAAATAGAGAACAGTGCAAGTCTGCTATATTACCTACAGAGAGATAACCTTCATGAAACATGACTTACAGGACTTGATGGCTCTCTCTGGCTCCTGATGCTGTGGATGCTACCAATTTCTGTCTGAGAGCTGGAGTGTGACAGTCCTTCAAAATAAGGTCTGAATACAGAAAGAAAAAACAGTTTCTTATTATCAAAACCACTAACAAGAGAGTCCTCCACATTCACAGCAAAGCAACGTGACTGTTCTCAGAGTGTCTCACTGCTCCGCAGTGGTTCCAGTAAAATTTATAGGCTATTTCTGAAAGGATAGGGAGGTCTCCAGGACAGCAAGAGACGCCAGAAAGTCCAGGGACCTCTGCCTAGCCCTGACACTAAGTGGTAAGACTTCCATCTAATGGATCCAACGTGTCACCTGTCACACAGCACATCATACTTATAAAGCCCTTCCTAGGAATACTTGCATGCCCCCAGACTACACACCAAACAGCAGAAAATCAACAGTGTACATGCAGGTCCAGCTTTTTCCCCATAGCAGAACAGAACTGCACATTCACCCCGCAGGAGCGGTTGTGCCCTCACTACCCCAAGCACAAGGTACAAAGTATCGCACTGCAATTCGTGTTTCAGCTTTGCAAATGCTGATTGAACTACATGCCAGCCCAGACAGTGTCTAACTCTTGACTGAAATATAGCAAGTAGAGCTACTGCCCCTCACGGATACTCTGCTCCTGTGGGTAAGTGACTCCTGCTACTACGCATTTTATTTCCAGCTTGCATCTGGATTTGGCTGCCAGCCCTATGATCCGATTACACAGTCGCTCAGGAAGATAAGGTAGCACATACAATCAGGTTGTGCTTCCATGTAAAAAGGCAGCTCATCACACCAGCTACAAGAGTCAATTACAATTTAAGGAACTGATTTTTTTTTGTTGTTGTTGTTCTTGTTGCAGGAAAAGCCTGCTTACAAGCATCAGCATTTATCACATCCTTTCAAGATGTGAGCACAAGAACTGAACACAGCAAACCACAAAGTGTCTCCTCAGGACCAGACACAGTAAGTTCTTATTCCAGTAATATTCCTGTAATCACATATCCCAGAACAGCTAGCTCCAGAGAACAGGACATGAGCTCTCAGTGTGTACATTACAACATTCTGGCTTGTTTCAAAGCATATGCTTACCTTATCTGCTTTCAAATTCCTTCAAGGTAGGGTCTACCAACTTGCAATACACTGGGTCAAGCTCCAAATGCCTTTAAAGCCAGGAGCTCCATCACTTACCACTGCTGCCCCAGCATATCCTTGACATCTTCTGACTTGCTGGTAGAGAACTAGTCACTCCAGACTCAAAAATCTATTCTCAGCCCAATTGGGATATTCAACATTAATTACGATTATGACAGCTGGTAATTACCTGGCACTTACAGATACTGTATTGACCAACTGCTGTGGCAGGCTTTGCTTTAGAGCCACCACAACACTGAAGGCCTGAGCATGCAACCACACGCCAGTCAGAAGCATGAGTGCAGCTCAGCCATGTTTTCAGTCTTTATTTGGCAGCAGTGTGACACAGCTCTGTCAGCTTGAGGTTCTGCATCTGCTTAATACCCTGAGCCAGCGATTCCTGGCTCAGCTCCACAGTGCTGTGATTACCCATATGTCAGTGTCCACAAAAGCTGGTTCAGAACACGCTTGCACTGATCTATGTGTGCTGCAGTCAGTCCCCTTGGGCCCAGAGAGGCTCCTTTGTTTCCCACAGTTCTGCTTCCTTAATGCCTGCAAAGACCCTCTTTGCACAGAGGGTCTTATCAGCTTTTCCAGAGAGACACAGTCTGCTTTGTTCATCCCTGCCTCTATTTCTGCACCTTCCAACCCATCTCCTTCTGCCTAGCACAGATTTCCTGGCTGTTTCTACCATGTCTTCAAAACACCTGGTTCAACTCTACTGCCTTCCAGTCAGCAACTCCTACCCTTGTGCTCAGGTAGCAGGGCAAGCAAAACATCTGCACAAGAAACAAGGAAGAAATGAGACTAAAAGGAAGTCAGACCCCCACACACTACCTCCAGCTCACAAGCAGCAATTCACATTGTAACAGCACACACTAGGGCTCCAAGACCAGGTCAAGATGAGGAAAAAAAAAAAAAAACAGGATGGAGGGGTGGGAATAGAAAGAACACCTAATCTGTGCTGACACTGCACATAGTGTCTCTCTGGCCCAGCATCAGCCTCCCCACACTTACTTTAACTTTGGCTTTGGAGTGCTCAAGACACTGTCATCATCCTCCATTTCTGGCCCACTGTCACTGGGGTTCTCTATATCCAGTGTGTCATACAGAAGGTCCAAGTCCTCCTCCACCTCTGGAACATGCTCTGCTGGGTCCTGCTCTGAATCCAGAACCTACACACAGCACAAAAGCAGGCATCACTGACTCAGGTAGGAGCCAGACCGATCCCATGTCACCTGAGCTGCCCCAAGGAATGAGGCACACCAGATTTGGGAGCAAGATTCTGTTCATAGTGCAAGGATATTATATCCAACAGAAACATTAAGTATATGAGAAGCCTTTGCTTTGGGTCAAGCTTGTCAGCGTCTGGTTAAGCAGAAGTTACCTACTGGACTAAGCATCCACAAACAAGCTATTAACCACAGATTATGTGTATTATTCAACCCCCTTCTACAAACAAGGCTTTGAAAAGACACCTAATGGAGTCCCAGTTTTCTGAGAACAAGATCAGAAATGCAGTACTCCCAACAGTCTTGGGTTTTACTGAAAAAGTTGCCATCACACCTCCTGATTTGATAACCAAGAAGGTAGAAATGCCAAAAATGTCCACAGGAGGCGCCTGAAACCTAGACAAGCATCAGCTGGACCAACATGCAAAGCCCAAGAGAACAGGTATTTGCACAAAACTTCCACAGGTTGCTTCACATATACACCAGAGTAAGCAGGCAGCTGTGTACAGGGTGCTGACTCTGCTGAGCTAACTTGGGAAGAACAGCAAAGCTAACAGGACTGTCTGAAAGCATAAGGAAGCATGAGGAGTTACTCGCTTTTTCCCACATGCCACAAAATCGACACACAGCCATTCAACCAATTGAGATGTTAACTGTTTTTATATTAGATAGTTAATGTTACACAGGTTTCTTGAGGTTCGGATCTCAGCTCTGACCAGAACACTGACTCTCCTGTGAACCCATGCTCCCTATCCAAGTTTTTCATGTCTTGCCTGGCTGTTCTAGTAAGATGATCAAACAGGCTGGGATTTAACTTCACAAGCAATATATGTATACTTGCCTTTGAAATGGTCAAAGATAATTCCAAGCGAGTTTGCAAAACTAATGGGTACATACACAGCTGCCAAAATCTACTTTTGATAAAACTTGATCTAGAAATCGTTTGATGACATTTTAAAGTTGGCCCTCAAGCCTCCATGCAAGGCCAGGGTGTAAGGAAAGGTCACATCCACTGCAGATGTGAAAACAAAATGAAGGGAACTAGGGGGAAACAAAAAAAGTGTTCCTGAAGACTAAAGCAAGATGCACCAAGCAGAGGGCAACACACAAGACAAAAAGGCTTACAGAATGAATTACTTACCTCATCAGACACTTTGAACCTCTTCAGCAATGCCACAACCTTCTGCTTGAAGTTTTGTTGCTGCAAGTCAAAGACACTTTTACATGAGTAAAGCATTAAGTGAACATTTTTCTCCTAGTCTGCAAAACACTCAGATGCATCTGACACTGGTGCCGCAGCTGCTGCTTCAAATCAAATAACTCCTGACATCACAAACCAAGTCTCTGCTGTTCTTATGTTGAAATTGGCTTTTCCACATCTACTACAAACTTTCTTTCCTGCACTGCAACAAACCAGATCACACTCCACCAAGCAATATAGATCTCCTGGCTCTGACAGACAGCACACTACTCTTGGGTGGACACAGGAGATAAATCATTTTATCTGCCAGATCTCCTCCTGCACTGACAAACCTAATACGCACACAGTGAAGAAAAGATGAGATGTGCTGGTACAGATGTGGCATCCCTGTGTCAGGAGGAAAGGGAGTAGAAAATGGCTGGCACCAGGCCACTAAACCCAGTTTTGCATCAGCCCCACATGCTGGAGATTCAGTATCAGTTCAGAGGTCAGGGCTAGAAAGACATTATTCTTATTATGAGAAAGCTGCTTAAGAACCAAGTGCTCCCTTTTGTCTTGGCTGGTCACTGACTCCTGAAAACAACATTAAGGACCCCAAGGATATGAACCAGCATGCTCCTGGTCTCAGAGAGGATCTTTTTATTGTCAGATTCAGGTCAAAATAGGGTTTATTTCAGAGATTATCAAAACATGGATTTCAGAAATAGCCTTATGGGAGGTAGAATGATTTCCAAACTTACTCCTAGGTCCAAAAAGAAACCTAAACTACCTTGGCAATTCTGAGTTACTGTCATCACAGACTTCAAGCACACTTGTATAAGCAAAAACCTGTGTTATGGCATGGTCAAGCATAAGTCATTGCTTTGAACAAGGTATAAGCTTTACAGGCATACACATGCTTGCTTAGAGAGGCTGGATAGCTGCATGCGACTTGCCAAAGCCTTCAGTATGAAGCTACTTCTACTGCAACATCCCGTTCACTAAATCAGGTTCATCTGTCAAGCTCAAGCCCCTGACTGAGCTACTTAACTTCATTCTGAAATTTTCCCACTGGCCTCTTCCATGCACAGTACAAACAGAAGAGCTTTCCTTCACTTAAAGCTACTTTTGGGACTTACATGAGTGTGGATTCTGCACTGGCTTCTTCATGGGGGTGGAAATTCATTTCATACACTTACATGATTTTTGGAGCTTCTTAACCTTACAGCCAAAGGATACTCAAGACAGCACACAGACATATCTTGGATGGCCCGACTCTCTGAACCTCCTGGTTTTGCCAGCTCTTCACATGCTGTGACCATGACCCCAAGCTCTCTGCTGGGCCAGCATGTCTAGTACTGCTGCCCCCATAAGCCACATGCACCATGCATCCTGACCAAACCCCATCAGTGTTAGTAAAACTAATTTCCACCGACCCTGGTTATGGACGTCGTTCTTACTATCGATCTCCGCTGCTTCTTGGGCTTCCCCAGCTCGTACTCATCATCATCCAAATCCTGAACAGAAAGAGGATTCCTGCGTTACCTTTGTGATTTGAGACACATGAACATTTATATGTTAAAAATGTTCCTTCTATGAAGATGAATCTGCTGCTTTGTCTTCCAGGCATTTAACATTTGACTTAATTGCAGTTATGACAGCAAAGGGAAAAGGAAGTGAACCAGGTCTGCAGAGAGCCACGAATAACAGCTTAGAGAAGAAAAACAGACCTAGTTCTACATTCAAGGAACAAGGATAGTCACAGCCCCCCATTTCAGGGGGTACCTCTCTCAGTACCTTCCAAGAGGTGGAAGGCAGGTAATGCCAGAGTCTGAAGGCAAGTAAGACACAAACTTGAAAGCGTATCACATCTAGCCAGAGCGTTCTTCATAAGGACCTATTTTATATAAGGCATTAAAGACTAAAGACCGACTCAGACCCCACTGGCCTTTTAAATACAGCTGGGGATCTGGTTGGGCTCTTCAAATCCTATCAGTATTACAGAATTGATCAACTGATGCCTTGACCACTAAGCTGAGAAAGACACAAAGGTGCTAATGTTTACTGTTTAGAGGGAGCTCAAGTCCAAACACACGAACAGATAAATAACAGCATGGTGGAAGAAATGGGTTACTGTGCAGGCGTTTGTCACTGCAGCTAAACACTTGGTGACAGTCCTGCGCTGTCATGATTTAGTTAAATAGGCTTTTAGTTTCAAGCATGCGTCAAGAGTGTACACACTACACTGAAGCCCTCACAGGAAGAAGCCATGCCCTAAACAGTACCTGGCCCTGTACGGCATCATCACTGGCCTCCTGCTCAGAAGAGAAGCTCTCGTACTCTTCCTCGGAATAGTTGTCTGAAAGGGAAGGAAAGACGGGAGAGATCCTGTGAAACTCCTTTAAGGCAAGCATCTCATCTCAGAAGCAGAGAAGGCCAACTAACAGTCACAAATCAAGAAAGGACGCAGACAAGGAGATCCTTGTTGGTTTATCTTAGTTTATCTTCTATCTGTGCTAGAAACAGTGAGATGGCACTGGAACAGGTTGCGCAAAGAAGTAGTAAATGCTCCATCCCTGGCAGTGCTCAAAGCCAGGCTGGACAGAGCCTTGGGCAACATGGACTAGGGTGAGGTTTCCCTGCCCATGGCAGGGGGATTGGAACTTGATGATCTTAAGGTCCTTTCCAACCTTAGCTATTCTATGATTCTATGGGAACCACCTGGAGGTAAAGGAATAAGGAGAAACACATTTAATAGAAAGAAAGCAGAAGCATACAGATAAGGCTTCTTGAAACACCATCCCCTTCTATCCTGGAAAGAACCACCTGATAGCAGCAAATAAAGAGGTTTCTCCACAAGGGAGATAACTTCTCCCTCTGACATGGGCATAACTGACTTAAAGGAGCAAGTGAGACATGCCAGGAGAGTCTAAATTCTTTATTGAAAGGTGACTTCAGGTGATCTGCCTGGCTTCAGGAAACAACACACAAGCACCTGCGTGCACTATCTTCAACAGGTCACTCTTCTAGCAGTGACCAGAAGGCTAGTACCACAAGCAGAAACCAAATGACTTTCCTAAATGGTGCACAACACCATGGATTTACATTCATCAAACCAGGCCATAAGTCCACAGCATAACATGTTGCAGGTTTGCAGGTCTCACCTAAGTTAATGAGATTTACTGTAAAATACTCAAAGGAAAAAGAAGCTGGAAGAGTATCTTAAATGCAAATATCCTGAATACAACACCTTTAGCTAGGTGAGAAGCTACAGGTTCTCAGCACACCCACCAGTAATGCTGGAAGAGCACTGGTGAGAACACAGCTAACCCTTGCTGGATGGCTCAGGCCTGGTGGGATGCAGGAGAAACTTTGACAATTTAATTTCCCACTCCTGTCACACCCTCTGGTGACATAGCAACAGGTTAAAACCATGTTAATTTTGTTTGTTAAAAACCTTTTAATTTTCTTTGCATTAATCAGTTATAGACAAGCAACTTGTACAAAACAGTTCTTATTTGGCCCTGAAAGCATCTAAGCCCAGGTGGGGTTTAACTCCAGCTAGTTCAGGAAAACAGTGGTCTTCAGAGCATGTGGTTGTACTCTCACCTGTAGACTTGATTTTCTGGCTGGCCTGCATTGTGCTGTCTTCATGGTCAATTGGCTGACTTGACAAGGAGAAGATCCAGATTTCTGCTACCTTCACTGCAGCCTCTTTGATGTTGCTGAAAAGGCTCAGAACTTGGCCACCTTCTGTTGGGTGCTGCATGACCTGGGACAGGAATGAAGTGGTACAAATTGGCCTTTAAATGTATTTAAACTTGCATAATTTGCACAATATGAGAGATTTACATTAATAGAGTTACTCCACATTTTCAAGTACAGAAGCAAGTCAACACCCTGCAACTGCAGGAGCCACTTGCAAGCAATATTCAATGCTAGTTGAGATTTTGACTACTAGTGGAAGCAATGGAAGGAAGCAAAAAGCATTCTGAGCTTGACAGTTGATTAGCTCATGCTTGAAGCACAATACTCAATACCTCATTACTATGTATTTGCTTTCATGGCACAGTACTGATTTGAATTATCAAGTTACCAACCTTATGAACACCTAATGAAGGAACTTCATTTTGTGTTAAAGCCCATCAGAACAGCCACTAAAGGCAAAAATTAATGGCGAGATACAGAAGCAAAGTGCCTCCTAAAGCAAAAAACCCTGCTCCAGGGAGCTGGCACCTGAATCTCAGAGGAGCTGGCCACCCCAGGATAATGAAGCAGTGGGTCATGAAAAACAAGACAAATGGTTGAGGTAGAGGGACATCTCAGTGTGGGTTTCTCCTCCATTTGACACTTACATGGTTCTTCCCAGAACCTAAGATTTATGTCCTTCTCTTGTTTCACTGGAGTTCAAAAGTGCACCCCCATGCCTGTACCTCAGCTTTATAACATATGCCAGACTGCTTTGTCAACTCCTTGTGTGGCTTTAAAAAGACCTGAGCTGCTGAGGAACAAATACCTCCCTGCTCTTAAACTCTGCTCAGACTCACAACTCCAATTCATTGCTTTGTTTCAACAGCTAAGAGACTCTACTTTTAAGAAATGTATCAGTGTTGTTGGGGGTCATCATACCATAAACTGCAAAGGAGGCTTGTAAAATTTGTTTTCTTCAAGTCTTCAATTTCAGAAATAGCCCAGATGAGCTGGAGAGTAACTATGCCCTAACACAGTGCACCTTTGAAAATTTCTGACTGTCTAACCTCAATCAGCTGACATTGCAAAAAGGCCTAAGAAAAACCACATGCAGCAGCAGTAGCAAGTGCCCAACACTTACAGGTTCACTGATGGGCCTAATTAATGGAGCCACATGTTTTCTGCCTTACAGCAGTATTTAATTTCTGGTCTTAAACAAACCAAACATGGTACACAAAAAATGTCAGCTACAACACAGCTACACATCGAAATTTGGCCACTTCAAATGGGGAATTCACCATCTACTGCAAGTCTAAGGGAAACTGAACTCACACACAAGGAGTGGCCTTAATAATTAATTATTTAGTGTAGTAAAAAGTCATCATAGCATAACACTAGTTTATTTTGGATGGAAATGATTTTTTCATCAGACTGCATTCTGTGAACAATACTGGTGTTAACCTGAACTTGCTATTGCTAAATCCATCTCTAAATACTCAGAAACAGAAACAGCAGAGATTAAACAGGGCATGAAATAATGAAGCATGGAGCTAAGCCATTCAGAAAGCCTTAGTGAATAATTTATCCATACTTGATTCCAGCATTAATTTTCAGATGCAAATCTGAAAATTTTATCATTTACCTCTCATGAATAGAATTCCACCCAAATTATCAAGTCATGAAATAAGAACTGCAAAGTGTGTTTCAAGCAAAATGAAAGTACTTTATCCTTAACTTTCATACAGTAGCACAGAGAAGCACAGCAAACCTTGCTTTAACTTTAGCATTTCTTAGGGTTGGAAGGCTTGCCTGAGTGACTGTGTCTGTCTTGTTCTGCACTTAAGATCTGGAGCCTGTAACTCTAAAAAAAAAAACAACCCCAACATACAACAACAAAATCTTCACAAGGTAAAAAGCTAGTCTTGTGAAAGCTTTAGCTCTCAATATCCTATCCAGAAAATGTCCAATATTATTGCGCAGTGGTAAAATCTGTTTAAAATATTGTCCACTGAATACTGATTGCAGTTGTTAAAACAGCTATATGAAATCCCATGAGGTACTACTCAATGAGGAAAGTCACAACACTGGGTCTAAAGAGAAGAGAAAACATCTACCTTTGTAAAAAGAGATTGTGCCAAATTCTGCTCACCTCAGCCATGTTGATAGACCCCACAGCCAGAGTCTTGTAGCCTAAAATGGTTCGGTTCTTGTATCGCTTCCGCCGCTGCAGCATGATCTGAAGCTTGTTGCCTTCTCTCTTCAAGAAGTGAGGGTACTGCAGTTGGGAACACAATGGAAAACTTTATTATGTCTCTTGATGTTATCTCTCAAGCTGCCTACTCCACAAGTAAACTCCATTTCTAGGGATTAGCCACAGGGCTTTTAGAAGTGCCTACAGCTAACTGACACTCAGCGGACAATCCTTCATTATCCCAAGGAAGCCTTCATCTCTGCCCAAACAGCTCAGGTCTGGGCTTTCATTTCCCCAGCCAAGCACAATGAAAACACAACCCAGCGGCACAGAGGAAATGTTCAGTTTGGGAAAGGCTGAGCCCAATCCCTGTTTCAGAGAGAAAAGCAGTCTCCAGGAGACACTTCCCGCAACAGCTGAATGGAGGCTGCCCAGAACTGGAGCCCCAGAGGTGCCACCTGGTGCACAGGATGCCCTTGCACAATCAGCAGGCTGCATGCAGTAGCATGGACCCCCATACTCTTGGTAGGACACTGCCTTCCCTCCAAGCACAAGGCCACTGCTCAGTATTGGACCCTCTACTGCACACATTAAGAACCTATTGCACTCTGAATGGGAAGCAAAGAGAAGCAAAGCTTTTGTTAAAGCATGGAGACCTACATGATCATGCAATGATTCTTCCCAGCCACAAAGCTCTTGCAACTATCAGCATCTTCCAACATTAACACAAACTTCTAATGCTCAAAGTGGTTCTACTTTAAGTAATTACATCAAGAACCCTCCTGCCAGGCTACATAGCGAAGACATAAATCCTTCCAATACATGTTCCATACAAGAAAATACATTTGGTTGTATATATCCCCAAAAAACTCCCCAAAACTCTACTTGACTGTGAAGTCAAGCAGAGACTTTTAGGAAAGTGAGGGGTTAACCACGTTATCTCAGCTTGCCATGCTCATCTGCACAGTGTATTAATGCAGTCAGGTCCTGCTTTCTGACAGGGCACTTGCCAGAGCACTGGCCATCTCCAGGGCCCAGCTCAGCTTCTGGGGGAAGAAGCCATGCCATGGAAGAGCAATCCTCAAGAGACGATTACAGCAGCCATCTGATCAGTCTCATCCCCAGAGGTGAATGGGACACGTGCTCTAAATATACAAAATACACAGCACTAAGTAACCTACAAACAGGAGAATCTAATTCCAAGGATCTCAACCAGGACATTCCCAAGTGAAGCATGCTCCTCTCGCAGGCAAGTCCTACATATTTTTTTCTCCTTGAGACATTAAGAAAATAACTTACTGCCAATCAAAACATGTGATAAATACAAATGCTGAGTGCCACCAGAAACCCAGAGATAGAATTTAGAGTCCAGAGCAAGCCTGGCTGCTATGCAGAGGGCTGGAAGCTGTGGCCACACAAGCAAGCAGAATACTAATTAACTGACTGCTCTGCAAGAGCAGATCTACTGTGCACTGCAAGAGGCAGTGGCCCTGCAGAAGAGAGGAACAGGAGCCCACATAATTAAAAGACAACCTCAAAACACACCTGCAACCAAAAATGGAGCGTGTGACTTTACAGGCATGCAACATCCCCAAACAAGGAGGGAAGAAAGTTATTACGGGGAAGGGACAAGAGGAGCTCAAAAGCCAAAGCCAACTTTTGCATTCAAATCTACGACCTCCTTGCCTCTGAGGCCCTTTCACATGTTGGAAGGGCAGCAGGGGAGAGGGACTCCCTGCTCTCAGCTCAAAGCACTTGGGCCACGCCAAGGCTGCTTAAGTATGAGCCTGCAGCTAAGGTCCAAAGTCACACTTGGTCGCAGGCCAGCTTGACTTTCAGGGATTAAACTGGATGGCTCAAGTCCACACATGTGCAAGTTTCTGTTTTTCAAAGGTGTGCTGCTTGGCCACCTCTGATGAGCACAGAGTCTCAGGCCTTTGTTAAAAAGCAAAACCCTCTAGAAGAAATGCCAAGCCATTTTCATAGCAGAGACAAGCTATTTTAAACACCAGCCATGACTTTGCAACTCTACAGAAGGGTTTCAAAGACAACATTTCAGTAACTGTCAGTCATGGCAGAGATTGGAGAGGAAAACAGTTTGACTCAAAACATTTGAAACCAAGGCTTTTAGAGGAAGCAGCAAGTGCCCTAAAGCACCTCATAGGGGTGGCAAAGAAGGGACCATCACGCACATCAGAGTAATGAGAATCAGGGCAAGACATTCTTTCTGAAGCCCCAGTGATGTAATCCCTTCCATCTGGAAAAAGTTATTAGATTAAACACAGGAATTAAGTGCTCCGGAAAGCTAGGATGTTGTGCTTGGAATAATCTGGGGAATTTCACTTGATCCTGTGAAACTCACAGAGGGTCCAGAGAAGCAGGCATTCCAGCAGTAAGGGTGATGCTAGCTCACCTGCCAGAAAGGCTACCACTGGTCTAGCTCTTGCTCTAGCAGGTAAGGTGAAACAGGATCACTTAACATCACTAACTCCAGTCTTACCCCAGCTGTGTAACAGCAACAGAAAACTCCTCCCTTCTGCTTGAGCAGAGGCCTGCCAGACAAAATGGGCTGCTCACTATTATGCCAGCCAGCACTGTCACCTCTCCAGCTTAGCTCTAACAAGAAAATGCTCTGTGCAAAGGACAATAATTTCACCCAGGAAAAGCAGTTTAGAAGGTGGTGACTGTGGAGATACAAGGGGCTGCAAATCCAGACAGCTAGCATAAAGTAAGGCTTACGGTTTGAAGAGCTGACAATGCAGTATGGAGATACTAGCTGCTGCAAGACACCAAGACCTTGTTCTGTGACATCCACATGCTTTTACTTTGTGGCCCATCACCACTCCCAAATATATCCAAGGGACTAAATTCAGACCACAATCTGTTTTAAACTGCAGTTGTTAGCTAGAAGTAGTTTCCAGCCATCATCCAATTAAGAAACAATAAAAGTTGTCATAAAAATCTTGCTGTGCCATTTCAGGAAGGCTTCCCAGGCCTTACTGTATCCAAGACCACCAATCTTTCCTGCAGTCAGAGACCAGCATCACATCCCTTCATTATGCTTATTCACCTACTCTGAAGGCTCAGTGTCATGGACATCGCTCTCCCCTATTATCCTGGCTCAATTCCCAGCCCCTCCAGGGAAAATCAAGTTAAAGGCAGTGTTCTGCATCCTACTGCAGCACTGCTCTGAATTTCAGGGAAAAAAAAAAAGCCAAATTAAAACAACCAAACATATTCCCAATTAATTCCAAAAAGATCAGCAGAAACACTTGCTCCTTGATGATACAGGACTGGCAAAGCGAGACCTGGCTCATTCTGCAGCTCTGCTCCCAACCATAGAAAGCTGCAGCCCCAGGAGCCAAGCATACATATTCCTGGCACGTGGCTTTTTTATTCCTGTTCACAAAGGAGAGGATGCAATATTGCAGTTAACACAGTCTGTGGGCTGCATCAGAACAGAACCCAAAGCATCAGCCATATGTGTATCTACCTGGGCAGCTGCAGGGTTATCATCCACCTGCAATGAAATCTTAGCTGCTTCGAGTCTGCACAGGTCTGAGTAACCACTACACTGTCTCACCTGAGGCTTTCTCCTTACAAGGTCAAACTCTTCACTTCAATATAACCAATAGTCCCAAACCACAGACAATCCAGATACATTCTATGCATGCAGGGTCCTCCCTCTTGCTTGCAGCAAGCCAGCCTCTATTTACCTTATTTCCCTGCTCAGGAGGTAGCATGAGGGCAGCATGCTTTAAGAAAAAATTGAACCAATAAAATACAGTTGCTCCAATTCCCACCTATTTCTATGACTCTAAAAATCAGGAGTAACCGTCTGCATACTGCTATTGCTTCCCCCAGATGGTGCTTCCTTTGGCAACTCCAAATCAGAAGTTCACCTGTCCCATTCCTACTACTGCTTTCCATCAGCCTGATACACCATGGCACCTCCCACGGCTGTCAGCCTCCAGTGCCTATTCATAAGGAAGTCAACTTACAGCAAAAAAGAGCTCATCCTGCTCTGCTCCAGTTCCTGTTACAGCTGTAACATGAAGAGGACAGACTGCAAAGTCCTCATGTTCCTGGGCTCCAAACACAGGATGCACAACAAGGCATGCCCCCTAATACCATGAACCAGCACCCTGCTCCAGGCCCTCAATGCTGAGAGGCAATTCAGACAAGTTTGTGTTGTTGCATTCAAGACATGCAAATTGCAGCTACTTGTCTGTTTCCCCTCAACAACTCAGGATTAGAGATCTCCTTCCACGATGCAAGGCTGGCACCAAGAACAATTCTAAGGGTTTATACAGCAGTTTTCCCAGTGGGCTTCCCTGTTCCCAGATCCTAGAGTCACCTGGCCTATTTGTGCTCCAGTTCCCTACAGCTGGCTGCCCACAGACAAGCCAACAGAGTTCATCTAGCTCTTCAGAAATGGCTACAACTGCCTTAAGAACAAGCATCTCAGCAGCACTAGAAGGATCTTCACCTCAGACCCACAATGCACTTCTGCTCACTGCAAAGCAACAAGTCCAGCAAGCACACCTGCCCCAATGGCACATCCCACCTCACCTGCAGCGAGAAGGTCAGCGCAAGCTCCGTCTCCACATGTCCACTCGGGGGCAATACAATCTCGTGAGACCGCAGGATGCGCTTGGAGCCCTGTACAGAAACAAGAGTCCATTGGGTGAATTCCTCAGAAGCCAGCCCTTACATCCCACCCCAGCCCTAGTTACTGAAAACCAGGAAACGCTATCAGGGACTACCACAGAGCAAGCAAACGGATGGGTCTGACCTTGCACTTCTGTGAAATATTAATGAGATGAAAGGGAGATATTTGCCTACCAAAGATTTGGGCATATTTACTGTCCCTAACTGCAACAAAGCAGCTTTTGTTCTGCCAAACCCCAGCATTCAAAAGCTGTGAGTCAACCCCCATCCCTCAAGTTTAAGTCTCATAATTTTACTTCAGCCAATAGGTACAAGGCTCATCTCCTCCTGGGTTTGGAGGCTCCAGCATCATGCTTAAATCTCTGGTGCTAGCCATGACAGACTGTTCTATTCTTTTTGTGCACACACCCCTCCCCCTAGGGAAAGTGGAGATTTTTTACCAGTTTAAATAACTGTATTAGAGGTTATAAAAGAAAAAAATCCACTAAACAGCGGAATCTGGAGACCTGATCATATTATAGGGCAACTCCAAATCAATACAGTGTTTGGGCTGCTGTATACCAACTGAACTACTGGGCAACTTCACATGTGAGCATTTCATTTCAGGGAATGTTTCAGGGAAAACCAGCAAGAAAGCAAGACAGACTGCTGCCTAGCAAATTCTTCTGCACTGTTCTAACACAGTGGCAAGTTTCAGAGGTCCCTGGCTCAATGTTCTGCTGAGGCTGCAGATCTGGCTTTGTCCAGACAGGCTGATCCCAGAAAAACAGAACTGTAGCTCTCAAAAAAGGCAGCATCTGGGAAACCAAAGAATAAAAGGGTAAACACTTCCCCAGCTACCTCCAAAGGGAAATCTGGACTGCCTATATCAGGCTCAAACAGCATCCTGAGATCAGAGAGAAGCAGAGACTCACTTAAATCCCTTCATCCCCAAATGCGTCGCTCAGGCAGCCAGAGCGAGTGCTGGGATTTGCAGCAGTGCCTCAGCTGCTGTACAACACAGCACCAGCTTCTCTGTGGAATAGGTGAGGTGCCTAAGCTCTAGTGGATCAGAAGACAGACAGCAGAGCACAGAAAGAAACTGAAGGGCTCCCCCCAGGCAGAGCAGCACGCGTGCAGTAAAGCACAGCTAGCACCGCCGCTAGCAATAGCAACATCTGTTCCATTGGTGCAAAGCTCCTCATAGCAGCAATCTTGCTTTACTTGTTATGCAACTTGAAATCTAATGAAATACCAAATATAGCTGCTTTTAAAAGACTGCAGCAGATAAATAGAACAACAGCTCAGGAAAATTGGCAACAGTTGACAGTTCTTTGAACATCACTGCTCAGGAGGCTGCAGGAGACATGGGAAATGCAGGTAAGATGTTCTCATTAGGTCTGTATTCAGTCACCCCCTCTAGAAGGACTCTGGTGTCTGACACCTCTCTTGCAATTCCCCATACAAAGGCAGTGAGTCATCTGACAGAGCTCATATATATATTTGATGATCCAGTATCACTAGGCTCAAACAATAGCCATGTCAGAAACCTGAGTGCTGCCAAATTAAGTGTCCCTGAAAGAGCTTGTCAGCATTATCATCATAACCTGCAAGCTACGAAGGACTTTCATTAACAGGGCTTCAAATTTGCCTGTATCCGAGACAGCTGCAGTGCTGCTTACCCACCATTAAATAGCACATCACAAAGAAATATGGGTGAACAAGGGACACCCAAGGTGAGGCACTCTCTAGGACAGTCATTCCAGCCACTGTTACCTCCAAGTCAACTGGACAGACACAGGAAGAGCACAATAAGGATGCAAGCTGCAGCCTGGGACTTGGCAGATGAACACCCCAAACAGGGCAAGTCCTGCCTTCCAGTTCTTCGAAGGTATGCCCTGGTATAAAGAGGACTGCAGAATTGCAAAGGTACCAGCATCTGAATTACTGTAGCAAGGCAGATCACAACATGTACCCAAAACAGACAAAGTCCCATGTGTTAAAACCCCCTATGGACTTGCAAGTCAAGGACAAGCTTTCAACCATAAGCGTAAGCAGTCAGCAGTAACCAGGACAGGAAAAGGTTTTGCTCTAGTAAAAGCTACTGAATTTTCCAACCCAAATCTGACATGCTCTGGATGTAGATCATTCACTGACAAGCCTCAGGCCCTTACAGTGACGCATCCAGCATCTTAGAGTACAATCGTAAGGAAAGATTTCAGCCCTGATAAGCAGTATCTGACAGCCTGGAAACCCACAGCTGTGCTGCTTCTAGGATTCCCATGAATCCAGGTGCGTGAAACAATTCCCTGCCTTTCTGCTCCCTGCTGCGCCTGTGTAAAGTCCCTCCAACAGAGGGACACATTTTTACCCCAGCTGGACTGCTCAAGGAGATGAGAAATGCCAGTTAAATCCTCAGCTGCATGTTCTTGCACCATAGACCCACCATGATTTCACCTTCCAAGCTAGATTTTGTGTGCTTTGACACAACCAGCTTTCTGCAGGGATCTTCTTGGTTTTGTTTGTTTTTTTTTAAATTTGAAAAGCAGCTGCTTTTCAGTATGATTAATGGTATTTTTCTACTTAGAGGTCTGCTAGGCTTTTACTCATTAAGTACTTCAGCATGTGCAGTGTTGGGGGCATGTGAGCTGAACTGATGTTGTGATGCCAACCGTAGAACCGAGTCTCCTTCCTTCCTAGCCTGCCTCTAGGCAATGTGACCTACATGTAGGCACCTAATTAAATGGCACAAATGTATGCTGTAAAGTGGGTTATTCACCTAGGATGACAGCTGCATTTTACAGAAACAAATTAAAATGTACAGGCACCCTACAAGTTCACTGACAAGCACTTGGCTACAAAATGACTTGGACTCAATAGCAGAGCTGCCCATCAGCAGAGAAAGGCCCACGCTCCAGGACCCTCAAACCAGGACCAAGTTATCAAGATGTCCATCCCTAAAGTGAGCTGAAGCATGTTAAATAGAGAACCAGGCTTGGAATTTAGTGACAGCTCATGAAGAAGAGGTGACAGCATATGATCTGTAAAGAGCATTTTTACAAACAGGTAAGCTCATGCTGAGCCTTCAGTGAACAATACTCTTTGCTTACAACAGTGAAATACAGTATGAATACGGGAGTACGAATGAGAAGAGACTCTCCACACAACTAGAATGTCCTGATGTACTTGGGAAGAAGCCTTGCAGCTGCAATGGACCCTCACATGGAGGTGAAGCTCAGTTTAGGCATCTGCCAGTACTTTTAGCCACACACATTTAATTCTTAGAACTGAGCAGCAATTACCTGCATTTTGACAGCAATGACCCCAGAAATAAGCTCCTTATCCAATTCCTTTAAGACTACCAGTTTCTTTAATGTCAAGCTGCACAACCTGCAAACAGGAACAGAAGAGAAACAGTTACAATCATGCCTGAGAAAGGAAAAACTCTGAACAGCTTTTACACACAGCAGTATCCCAGTTTGAGGGTGAACAGGCTCTGGACACAAGCCATACACTGATAGAGACATAAAGACAGCAGAAATATGTGAGGCCTTCCCTGGCTTTTCAGGATGAATTTCTCCAACCTTTCACAAACACAAGGAGGTGGACAGGAGGTACGCCTCTCTGATACAACCCATGGCCACATAAGAGCACCTCACAGTGACAGCACAGACTTGGATCAGCCACAGCTGGGAACTCTTGCTCTGAGTCAGACCAAAAGCTTTACGGTCAGAGGAATTAAATTCTGGGAATATAAAAGCACTGGGTCAGTCTGATTTTAAACTTATCTACAAAGTTTTCCTAGGTTGTTGGCTTTTTCAGTTTCAGACTCCTGGCTCTCAAAAGATCTCATTCCCACCTCGTCAACCCACACATTCTCCTCCTCACCCCCAGACAAAAGTGCTAGCAAGTGGCTCAGGCATGCCTAATGGGAAAGGAAAAAAAGAAAAGAAAAAGAAAGAGGGAAAGAACCCAAGCAGTGGCCTCTGGCCCTCAGGTTCACATGCCACACATACGCAAGTAAATCACATTCTTTACCCTGGCAATGCTACACTGTTCTGGTTAAAGCTGTTTGCACTTCTGCCTTCCAGCACAGGGAGCTTGGGAGGGCATAAAGTTTGGACTAGGCGCAGCTGAGTTAAGGCTCTGAGGCAATGTGACTACGGTACTGTCACTGTCATAATCCCACAGAAGTTGCCACCAGCTGGTGTAATTAAGAAGGCATGCCTAGAAACAAACTTAAGGAAAGATAATCCTGAAGCAACACCAGCTCAGCTTGAGGCAAGCAGAGGCCAGAGGAAGTTGCCAGCTTGGCTCTAATGACTAGACATCATCTGTCATGCTGGCCAGGAGCCAGCACTGCCTTTGTGTAAGGTCCCCATCCCATGGCATGGGCATTTTTGGCCTCTGCCATAGGATGTTAGCACGCCTCAGTGTGGCTTCTTGGAAACACACTGCAGTTTTCTCCCAGATAAAGTGTAACATCAGGGCTGTTCATGAAGGGGTCCGCAGTAGATCGGAAGAGGAGCCAACGGTGGATTTTGGTATATGCCCAGGCAGCGGAAGCACAAGTGCAATTGACTGAAGCTTACACTTAAACTACAGGACCCTACACTGGCGCCAGGAGCCCAACAAGTCACCACAGCAAGCGTGACTTGCACCTCCACCACCCTCTCCATCACAGAGGAAAGCTGAAATGGTTCTTTGTTGCAATGCCTGAAGGTAGCCACAATCAGTCTGGATGAAAAACTGCAGGAGACACACAGCTAAAGGCTCTTCCTGACAGGAGCAGCGACAGATGTTGAAGCAAATGCTGCCTGCCTCATCCAGAAACATCAGTGGCTCTGCCCAAACTCTGCCCTCTCGCACAGGGCTATTAACCGGGAATAGTAGGTCAGCTTTTACAGTCTTCATACAAGCAACTCTCCAAGCCTACCCTTGCCAGTCTCTCCTCCACTCCAGCCCATACCATCTGCTCTCCCTGCTCACTTGCAAAGCACTGGTTCTTGCTATCAGCCCCCCAAATAGCCAAGAGATCCAAAGGCTCTTTCCATTGCAGAGTTTTGCATCAGGAGATACGCAGCCAGAGATGCTACAAGGAAGCTGGAAAACCTGGGTGTGCCTGGGCCTCCGTTCCCTCAGTCACACCACCAGCAGCTGTGCACGGTGTCATCGAGAGAAACATGCTACAGAGCACAGCCTGGGGGTGCTGGGTGCCAGAGGAAGGTCAGCAGAAGCAGGCAGGACAGTCTGGGAAGCCAAGCATGCTTTCACCCACAGCCACAGCCTCCTCTGAGCGAAGCAGGCACCTGCAGAAGCAACAGAGCATGGGCCAGTGCATTCAACTGCAAACATGTCCCTGTGAACTGGAAATCAAGTGAAGCTGCATCCCCTCAACCTGGAATGCAGAAGAGGCTGACAGCTTTTCCCTCTGCATCCTGAACAAAACAGCAAGCACAGATGCATGTGGCTGCTGCCATGAAGCAGCCACAGGATCTAGAGGAAAGAGGCTGTGATGCCATTTGTTTTCTTTGTAACACTGTAGCTGGAGGACAATTGCGCTTGGCTTGCCAAAACCCACACTGCTTGGCTGGTCAGGTGCTGAGAGCAGAGGTAGGACAACACACTGGCATTGTCTTGGCAGACAGGCCAGCAACAGTGGCCTTTTCTCCCCAGCCCTGAGCTCGAGGATGAAAAAGGTACGGGAAGAAACAATGGTTTTCTCAGCACACACAGCCGAGCACAAGGAGGGCGTTCTGTTCTCTGCCAGGCATTCCTTCAATTCATCATTTATGAGCTTTGATCAAGCCCTGTGGAGCACTTGCTGCTTGGGAAAAAAAAAAAATAAAAAAATTAAAAGCCTTCTTTACAGTGATCAGAAAAACAAAAGCAGTTAAAGAAAGACATGGAACGCATCTGCTTTCTTTATTCCACATTGCTCGGCTGCTGGTACTAAAAGGCACTTCACACTCAACAATGAATGTTTATATTCTCCAGTGGGGGTGGGGAAAAGGAATAAAAATCAGTTTAAACCCCACCAAATCACTCTTACCCTCAGCACACTTATTGTTCTGGGTCTTCAGTCTAAGTTTGTAGCTTACAAATCAAAGCAACCTTCAGGATATGTGGCAGAACAGGGCCATACCTTAACTCAAATAATCATTAAAAGGCATCTTCTAAGCGTGTCACTGCATCCAGAGCCATGGTGCCCCTGCCACCAGCACAAGGATCCTGAACTGCTTGAACCCACAGGTACAGCAAGGATTTGTCTGCCATAACTGCCTCTGATAACAGCAGCACTTCCTTCCATATATTTATCTCTTGCCTAGGTTTTGCTGTAGCTACATCAATTCTCAGGGATCAGGAAGGGGCCTTGTCTCACAAAACACTTCTATCCATGAGCCTGCTAAGATTAAACATTGGTAAGAAAAACAGGACAGACACAGGAGGATCTGGAAAGATCTGAAAAGAGAACATGGCTGCATTTGGAAGTATCTAACGCTTATATGCAGGATCTCCATGAACACAGGGAAAATAACCTTAGCACACACATACAGAAGGGGAATTGAGGAAGCCTCAAGTCTGGAGCTGAAAGAGCCTGAAGTATTTTAAGCAGTCTAAAAGAAGCCTGGGACTGCAATACAGGAGGTGCAGACAAACCCTTTGCATGTTTGTTTCAGCAGTGACCCATGGCTGCAGACAGGGAGGGACTTAAGCCAGCAGAAGTGCTAAATTAGAGGAAGCAGTGTTAAATAAGGGCAACAGAAATCTGAGAGCCACAATTTCTACCCGTTCTGAAGGTTCATCGTAGATCTCCCTGCTAGGGGCACAGCTGGGTCCCACACAGCAGCAGGCAGTGCCTACTGCAGAACTTGTGTCCCCTCCACTCACTCATACCCCTTCCTATGGTGAGGAGGCACAAGGTACTGGCCTGACCCCGTTCTCAGGTTAACAAATCATGTGACAGCTTAATGCATTCTACAAGAATAAAACTCTTCATCTTTCTACATCACTGCTGCAAGAACAGTTTTAAAGAGGAAACCTCGACTTGACCCAATGGTTTCAACTCGCCCTGCTAATGCAAGTTGTGGTGAATAGCCTCATCACAAGCTCTCTGCCAAAAGAGACAATTATCTGCAAAGAAGAAAGCATTTTGGTAACCAAGATCCAGAGAACGTGCCCAGAGCAACCAAACAAAGTGCTGCACTCTTTACTCATTGGATGTTGTGCTCTTGCATCCCTCTGAGTAGGAAGATCAGGAAAATAAGCCCCCTCCAAGAAAGAGTCTGGCTCACCGAATTAAATGTCTCTGTCTCCACAGGGAGCACAGTAATTGCACTGAGACCTTGCTCACGCAGAGACAGTCACATCAACAGGAACGAAAAATTAAAAATTAAAGAACTGTGTTTTAATTAAGCCCCACAGAAGTTGAGAATAACAACAGATAATAACAGATGCATCCACAGCTAGAGGGGACTCCACGTGCAAGACAAGAGCTGGGGCAGGAAGACTCTACACCTCACTACACAGACACCTTTTGGCCAGGTTAAAAGCTGTGAAGAGATTGTTCCTAGAGAAAATGTTTCATGCCAGGAGCACTCTCCTCTGAGGTTTGTAAACATCAGTCAGCTGATGGCTATAAGGAAGGAACTGATTTCTGTTTTGTCACTGGACAGTTTTCCCTCACCAAAATTACTGCAGCATTTCAGGACAGCTAGCAGGCTCCTACCCTAATGCCTTCAACATCAACTTTGAGTGTTTTGCTCTAAGCTGACACCTCACACCCAAGTCAGTCCCAAAATAATTTGTGAGCCACTTAAGGAAGTGAAGGGAGAAACCTGCCTGCATACATGCTTGCCCAGACAAACAGAGCCATTCTGCACATAGCTACAGGGTGTCTGTGCAGGAGAGGCATTTTTCAGAGACAGCTGCTTAAGTAAGGTATGAATGCATGCAGCACACAACTAACCAACTGTGCAAGCAGTTCCTTATGCCTACTTCATACATGCCCAGGAAGAACAGAACACAATGATGTACTCTGCTGCACTTACATGATAAAGGCAAGCCTCTGTGCTGGCCTAGGAGAGTTAGCTTGGGGAGAAAAGCTGTCCTCTAATGTCTCTGAACCATCAGAGCAGGGCCTCCCCACAAGGGTAGCAATGATAGAATCTGCAGGAAGAGTGCTTCTTCACTTTCCAAAGCTTATAAGCTAATTCCCTCAAAATGGTCCCATCCTCAGGTAAACTCCAAGGCAGGAAGAAACTAAATGAGGAGGCAAAGGTGAAGCACCCCAATTTCTATCAATACCAAAAACATACTGACTCACAAAGAAACATAATAGTCCTGTACTAATCTCTGCTTTCTTCTTCTTCCTTCACACTTACCAACAA